GGGATTCTGACAACGTAATTTGCAGCGATGAATTCAAATCCTTTGGAAACATCCTTCTTAACGACGAAGGCTTGGGTGAATTCTTTGAAACGTTTTTGCGCTTCGTCGTCGCTTAGAGGGTCGGTTTGGATTTCGCAGGGGGCTGGGATCGTGGCTCGCTCGGAGAGGATGGCGCTTGCTGCTGTGAGGGATGCGGTTGCTCCGATCAAGGCGAGGAGGGTTGTGGTGAGTTGCATGGTTGTTGAGGGTGAGGTTGGGGTTTGATGGAGTGGGAATTGATGGTGAGTTGAGAGGGTTAATTGAGAGTACTGGTAGACCCCTTATGTACTTGCCTTCGGATGATATGTTCTTCGTCAGTTTAGGTACAGTCCAGTCCTTCTCTCATAGGAGTGTTAGGACGGGAATGATGATTGTGACGGTTTCGGCTCGGAGGATGGATGCATTTTTGGGTCATTCACGAGAAAATAAAATGAGCAAAAAGACGCAGGTGATCTGTTTCGAAGGACTGAACGAACGAACGATGCCATATCTGTTGGAGGTCGCTTAGGGCTGAATGAACGATACCATCTTCGTTGGAGGTAGGTCCTTTAGGGCTGGATGTCATTCTTGCTGATCGGAATGAATAGTCCGGGCCCATGTCCCCTTGTCCGGTGTATAATCAATCCAACCACAGCTTGAACCTGACGATTAGGTAACGATGGAGCGAAATAAGCATTTTCCCACCAATTTGGGAACTGGAAGGAAAAGGTAAATGAAGGCAAGTGAAGGCAAGTGAGTGACCTATTCTTGACTGGAGAGTGCTTCCTTCTAGAGCGATCGGTTGATCTACGGTCTCCGCATTTGCCCCTTCCCTCAGCGCTCGCTTATTACGAGAAGCAACGAGCGAGCCCTAACTCGACTTTGTTGCTCCAGGCACCTTCGAGTCGTTTGGGTGTTGACTGGATCGGATCGGATCCGTACTGTACTGTACTGGCACGATGGATGCTGCAGATGTTCTCTCCGCCGTCATGTGCCGTTTTGTGATCCGCCTCGCTCTTGTTGACAAGAGACATGGTCGGTACCGAATGGTTCGCTCAACCCGGCACCGCCTCCTGTTGTGAGATGTTCTCTGATATCCCGTCGCTGCTACGCTACGCTGGAGAGCGTGTCCAGCAATGTTGTTGCCAATTTCGGGGTGACTGTTTCTTTCTGCTGGCGAATCCTTGCGGACGGCCGACTCTTGATGTGTTGCTTGGTGGGTGAAATGCACACGAAAGAAACTCGTAGCCACGATCATGTACCTACCTACCGTTCGCCGTCGAGGTTCTAGTCCAAGAAGGAAAGGGAAGGGGTGGGGGTCTCCAAGGCTCGAGCTTCGAGAAGTGGAAGAGTTGGAAAGGGTTCTGTAAGCGCCAAGGCTGCAAGGATACCTACCCATCATCCTACCTAGTATCGAGGCGCTCTTGACTTCGTCTTCCTTTCTACATCAGACAAAGACTGACGGTGATGTTGAAGCTTACCTCTCTACCTCCTACCGCATGAAATCTTGTGATGTTGTATGTTGTGCAAAACGACAAAATCACGGCAAGATCCAGAAGATTCGCCCTTGCGAGTCAAAACACTCCTGACCCACGAAAGGAGAGCTACTCTAATCTGTTCAAACGGCACAGCTCATGGAACAAATCATTACAACCATCGAGTTGGGTAGGATAAGGAACATCTTTCATACAGTTCATATCACATTAACACCAGCTAACAAACTACCAACATATCAACTGGAACGGTCATTCGTCCTCGAGGCGAGCACCGTCTCCAATAGTGTAGTGTTCCACTCATGATACTGGTGTATCTCTCCTTTCRAGCGTCGTACGATGCCTTTCTTCAACCCTCCTAAATTTGTGCACTCAGGGAATCTCGAGAGGGTTTCCCTTGTTCCTTTTTTGAATGGCTTTGACAGCTCTTGGATCCAGATCACAATGCCCTGGACAAAACAACAATGTCATACATACGCTCTCGTTGCATATATACAACATCGTAATGGTCCGCGATGCACAACTTACTCGATCTGWTCATCCCCACAAGCAAATTGCATTTGCTCACAACATCAAGAACAGCTTCTTAACACCGAAACCACAACAGTTGTTTCAAAAAAAGCACTCTCAACCACACCATGTCCAACCTCATGAGCTTCCAAGAGCACCGCCACCAGACCGCAGGCTCGAGAGTTCTCCCAAACGAATCAATGGCACGCTGGATGGCGCACTTCGTGAACTCGACCGAAGTCGACGATAATGCATCCTCCGCAGAGACTCTCATCGAATTGATCCAAAAAAATTGAGCGGGTTGTCCGAAACGAACACTTGCTGACATCCTTCTTTGAATACACCGAAGCCCCTGGTATTCCTCAACCGCCCCTGTCGGAACGAGTCCGGTCCTATCGATTACATGTCCTCCAGCTCGTCAGAAGGGCGCATGAAGCGCGCGAAGAGCATCATCGTCACCGTAGAGCTGGATCTACCCCTCGTAATGTTTTTCGCATGGGGGACAAAGACGCGGAAATCATCGTTTGGGGACTGGAAGTCGGGGATACTGGTTTAGAGAGAGGAATCCACGTCCTCGACAGGCTGAGGCTCCTCGTCGCCATCAACCTCCTCACCCTCAATCAACATCACGAGCCTCGACAACATGAGCATCGACGTCCTGAAGCTAGAGGCTGGGTAAGAAGAAGAAGAACCCCAAGAAACGACAACCACAACGAGGACCACAACCACAATCACCGTGACCCTCGCCGACGAAGTGAGCATCATAACCGACAAGGAAACGACTCTCACGTACCAAGACAGCATCAAGAGTTCCGCATGGACGGAGCAAACGGTGGTGGCTACTACGTAGAAGAACACATCCCCCAAAACGCTCACAACATGGAAGAATTCGAACCCAGACCCCCTCCCACTCCCAATGCTCCCTTCCGAAATCGACATCATCATCATCAACGACAAAGAAATGAATCCCACGATCGAAGGCAACATCTAGACTTCCGCGAAGATGGGCCAAATGGTAGAGGCTACTTCGTAGAAGAACACATCCCCCCAAAACGCTCACGACATGGAAGAATTCGAACCCAGACCTCCTCCCACTCCAGATTTCTACTCCCAGTACCAAAACGGCCTGGAACCCTTTCGGCGAACCTCTACCACCACCACCAAGACGTGAAACAACCCGGGACGTGGAGGCACCGATGCAACGTTTACCTACCGAGGCAGAAAAGACTGAGACTTGTCTCATTTGTCTTGAGGTTCCGAAAGCGGATGGAATGGTTACTGTTCTGCCTTGTGTGGGTCGGGCTGTGGGGAAGGGACATTGGTATCATGCTGAATGTATCGAGCCGTGGATTTTTACAGCAGGGGAGGCAGGATTGTCCTATTCGTTGTGAACAGCGTTTTGCGAGCTAGACTTTTGCTGGGGGTGGAGAAGTGAAGCTTGTTGTGCAGTAAGTGTATTATATGGAAGAAGCCTTTTTCCTTTATGATTCCTCTTGTAATTAATTATTCCTTACGACTTTTCCTGTCATCACCAATCGATATGATCATATTACTAAACTTCTCTTCATCTTCTCAGGTATCTTAATCATTATGTGCAATGGAGTTCGAGGAAACAGGTTCAGAACCTTGTTGAAAGTACTCCCCTTATTGTTTCGCTGTAGTGGCTGAAAAATCAGGCTGTGAATACTTCATCCCTAGAGGAATCATGACTGTTCATTCTCAAGGCCAGTTCTGCCACCCCTACCACACATTTTACGACTTGTAGCTTGCCATGCCATACTCGACCAATGCTCACGTTGGTCGACGGCTGGGTCGAGTAGCACTGTGCTCTTTTTTACGTCCAATTCACGCGGCAGTCTGATGGAGTAATTTCATGAAACAGCGTGTCTCTCAACGAATGAGACGTATTGTTGACTAAGCTTGAGGAGCGTGTGCAATCATGCGTGGTGTATGCGTGGTGTATATATCTTCTCGATGTGCTGTTAGGGTTAGGGTTAGGGTCAGGGTTCATCAGTCCGCGGAATTCCATCGATTCGGGTCCATGTTGTCCTCGCTCGATGGCGTGTCTTTTCGAACTCATCTTCAACCACTAACTTACACCCATCATATGGGCCGCGGGTGACGACGATGCCGCCGGTGCGTAGTCATCACAGGCCTCGCCAGGACCCGGTATCTTGTAAAGTATGTCGGCAGAAAAAGCTCAAATGCGACCGAAAAGTGCCCTGCTTGAATTGCAAGAGTCGCAAGATTGCGTGCGAATATGGTGGCGACGGGCCATTGATTATTATCGATGATGGAAAAGATGATGATCTCCGAGCTGAGAATGTGGCCATCAGAGCAAGACTGGATCGGCTGGAGCAGGCTTTCTACAACAAGCCCACCCACATCCTACCATCTCCAGAGGTTCCAGTCGATAGGACGCAGACGGATGCTTCACCGCTCGGGAATCCGCAAGCTGTACAAGCAGATGAAGACTCCAGATGGTTGGAGAGATTGGATGCTCGCGCAGACCTCATCATGCCCCAGTCCGCCGCTCCCGATGTCATTCATCTGCAGAGTCTGGAACAAGCACTGCTGGCAACGGACCAATTTCCGGCAGCAAGAAACATAATTGTACCAACTCACGAAGTTGCCCACCTGTTCTTGAGCCAATACGCCGAGCACGTCGACGGAACTCAACACATCCTACACATTACCAGCACGCGTCAAATGCTAGACAATGTCTACGAAAGACTGGCAAACGGCCGAGAAGTTGACCGCGGTGCGCTCTGTCTTATCCTAGGCATCTGCGCCAGCGCCTCGTACTTTTCTACAGCCGGCTCATCGTGTGGCAGTGAGGTACTCAGAGACCGTGCCATGGCACATCGTTTGGCTCGTCTCTGGGCCACGCAAGGCATGTACGCCATGGAACAGATCCAGAGCAAGACTACCACGAGCCCCACTCTGGAAGCGGTGCAGGCGATGGTGATATTAACCTTTTTGTTCTATCACATGGAAGGCTTTACATGCCGCATGAGATTTATGCATTCCTCTGGCATCATCATGGCAAGAGCCCTTGGATTTCACAAGCTAGACATTCCTGTTGTATGTCCTTCGCCCTGCAGCCGCCAGGAAACGATTGAGAAAGAGGTGCGCCGTAAAATCTGGTGGCATCTGACCTGCTCGGACTGGATCTTCTCCTTCGTGGGCGGTCCCCAGGAGGGTTCCCACAGCATAGGATTGCATGATATGAGAGTGAACATTCCGCGGAACCTGAACCCACAAGATCTCGATACTCAAGCCCCCGACTTCAATCGTCCTCTCTCGGAGCCGACGGAGATGGCCTATTACTTGCAACGTATCAAGCTTGCCACTACATGTCGTGACGTGACGGAAACTGTGTGGAGAAACATTCGCTTCACAGATCCTCTAGAGATTGATTATGATACTGTCGCTGTCCTCGATGCAAAATTCGACGCTCAGTTGAAAGATCTCCCGCGATTCATGCACCTCGACATCACATGCTCACAACTGCGRGCCGAGTACGGAGAGCTTTTCACATCCTCACTCGACATACAGCGCATCCTGGTCCACTTGATGATCAACACCAGACGTTCCCAGCTACATTTACCTTTTCTAATCCGCGCAAAACTGAGTCCAAAGTTCAAGCAGTCTCGAGCAACGGGATTACACTCCGCCCGCGCAGTATTCAATGCTCGTCGGCTCGCATTACAGGACACAGAAAGTGTTGCTGCCTTACATCTAGAGCTCGGAGGTCTACTCCAGGTAAGCATCATACACCGCAATTGCATGACACTACACCGACTGATTCTCCAAAGCATTTGTTCTACGCGGCTATTGTATTGGTCATGGACTTTTGTCTCAATAGAGATGAAGAAGATGGTGCCACAATCACCGAAGTCCGAGATGCTCTACACATTGTGGAAAATTCACGAGACGCTTTCCAAATGGGCCCACGCTTCCACAGTAAAATTATGCACATCATGCGAAAGCACAATGTCAATATGACTGCTGCCACCGAGCCTGTACTACAGGAGACTGGAGTTTCGCGCCCTGGAGATGTCTCTGATATGAACCTGGGTCTTGACTTGACTTTCGACACATCATCCTCAGACGGGCCCGAGCTGGRTGGTCTATGGCAGGACTTTTTAAAAACTGCGCCTGCCCTGAACTCACAGGACTGGGACGCTCTACTGTCGGAATTTGATATGAGTTCCATGTGAAACATCATGCGGAAGTCGCCAACGCCCAGCCACACCCACTTGGAGGATCAGCCGTCATCTGGTTGACGCACTCGAAGTGTTGAGCATATCAATATCCGAGTCCTCTCGTACGGGTAACCTTGGTTATTGTTACTAGGTACTCAACAAGAGCATCATTCCAATGCATTCCGGATGAATCGCACGCCGCGCCTGGTGTTTGGTCGTCGCTAGTCGATTGGTTCTTTCACATTTCGGTGAAAAGGAGCGCCATCGGAAATTCCGCGGACCCTCCGTAGAGGACAAACCATGCCACGGACTGGCCGGAACTAGAGAGATTCATCATGCTTTATCGACCAACGAAAGGCCGGAGCCTCCACGGACTGTCCGAGCGAAGTTAACTGCGCGAACAATGATATGTCGGAGCTTCCGCGGACTGTCCGAGCCTGAACATAAAATAACTACATCACCCACCATTTCCCCCTCGCATCCTTATTACAATCGAAGACGACGACGAATGACTCGAACAGCTTGGCTGGCAAAGAATCTCCTGAGATGTATCGTGACAAACATGTCACAGATGCAGACAGTAGACCACAGGAGGCGGCATCTGAAGTCAGGTTAGATGCTTGTGTTCCTGGACAACATAAAATGAAAAGACCTGACAATCCATAGTCTACGATCAGCCCTTGCTCTAGCAGACAGTAGACCACAGGAGGAGGCATCTGAAGTCAGGTTAGATGCTTGTGTTCCTGGACAACATCAAATGAAAAGACCTGACAATCCATAGTCTACGATCAGCCCTTGCTCTAGCAGGCAGCTTTCTGGGATACTTTTGCACCGTCGGTTTCGTGAATGCATATGGCGTGTTCCAGCAGGTATGTACATCTTTTTTTAGCCTCTTGAATAACTACAACAGTGCATCGAAGGAGACTGAAAAAGAACAGTACTACACAGCGCACTACCTCCCAACGTACTCCAACTTTCAAATCTCCTGGATCGGCTCCTTTCAAGCATTCATGGTCTTCGCATGTGCCCCTCTGGCCGGCGTGCTCTCGGATCGATACGGTCCCACGATTCCCATCCTGATCGGATCCATATGTCAGATAGTGGCAGTCTTCATGACATCACTCTGTCATGAATATTATCAACTCTTCCTCGCCCAGGCCGTCCTCCTCGGTGCCGGCATGTCGCTCATTGCCATTGCCACCACAACAATGGTCCCCCTGTACTTTGCACGAAACAGAGCTTTCGCACAAGGCGTCTCGGTCAGCGGCTCCAGCCTCGGTGGCGTTCTCTGGCCCATTGCATTGGATCGGATGTTGAACAAGGACGGCATCTCTTTCGGCTGGACAATGAGAATCGTCGGCTTCATCATGACACCCCTCCTAGCTCTGACAATTGTATTCGTCCGACGACCTCGTGTCACCGTCACTACAACAGACATTACCCTCGCAGAGAGTGGTGATGTAAGACAACAACCCAAGGCGAAGAAGAAAGATCTCTCCAGTCTCAAACAACCGACCTTCATCCTCCTCTGCTGCGGCCTCGCAGTGACATATCTCGGATTCTTCGCCCCCATCTTCTACGTATCAATCTACGCCACGCACCTCGGCTTCAGCGAAAACTTTGCCTTTTACACAGTTTCCATCCTAAACGCCGGCTCCCTCTTCGGAAGAATCCTCCCAGGTCCACTAGCAGACAAATACGGCCAATTCAACGCCCTAATGATCTCCGCCGTGATTTCCGGCCTCGTAGTTTTCTGCTGGACAGAAGCGACCAGTAAAGCAGGATTAATCATCTGGACTTTTGCGTATGGATTCACTTCGGGTGCGATTTTGAGTTTGCAACTTGCTTGTGCTACTGTATTTGTTAGTCCCGATTGTGCGGGTGCTGCGGTCGGTCTCGCGTTGGGAAGTGTGAGTTTGACGGGACTGTTTGGGACGCCTATTGCTGGGCAATTGGTTGGAAAGGGGTATGTTGCTTTGTCGTGTTTTGCTGCTGCGACGCTTATGGTTGGGGGGTTTTTGATTGGTGCTGCGAGGTTTATGAGGAATCGAGGTTTGTTTGCGAAGGTGTGAGGGGATGTGGTTTATGAGGGGGAGGGAGTGACTCTTTTATATCTATGAAGGTCTCTTTGCCTTTGTATGCTTGAGAATTTAATAACGGGGCTCTGAGAGCTGAGAAGATGCTGTGGTCGAGGTCTCCGAATACTAAACTACAAAACATAATGTACATTTCCGGAATCTAGCAGCCGGACTCCCGCTCCAAAGCCTTCAGATAGGCATTCTGTCCTTCGAGCTGTGGATGAAACAACGATCGAATCGTCGGACTCTTCAAGAGCTCCTGGAACTAGAACTAGAATCTGTGTCCCTCGAAAGCGGCGTTCACATCCACAAACGCAAACCGGACCTCCTTGGCACTCGTATTCAGAGCGTCATTTAGCAAGGTAGCGAGCACATTTTTTCTGCGTGCGGTCTCCTAGCGAAGGGATGTTGAGGTAGGACCTTCCTGGCTGGCTTGCAAAAGCCTCCTGGAAGCTCGTGGACGTTCGCCCAGAATAGAGCGTAACAGTTTGGCCTTGAGTGGCTTTCTTAATGAGGATAGGTGCTACTTTTGGAGTGACAAGTAGATGTCGTGAATACAAGGGAAGCCGAACGAGTCGTGTTGTTGGAATCTAAGGGAGTCAGTGTGTTTCACGATCAGAAAGTGTTCGTCTGCTTGTACCAGCTTTCGGTATTATTGCTTGATCTACTGCGAGTGGCATGACTTCTATCCTTGGATTACGTCCTTACAAGTGAATGATCCGGTGGGCAATGCATTTCTGTTTGGCAGTTTGCGGCAAGTAGGAGAGCATGTAGACCTTTGTAAACACACTCCAACTCAGTAGCTTTGGTGCCACAGATATGGACTCTATTACATAGCGATTGGAGTTCCAAGCCTGCTCTGCAGTTCATCCTACACACCTGGAAGATACAACCATACTGGGGTAACTTTTCCGTGTTCATAAGGGATTCAAAGTCAGACTATAGTTCTGTTCAACGTTCAAAGCTCAGCGTGACAAATCTGACATGGGAATTCTTCCATTTGTAAGACACTGAAAGACTGCATTCTTGATCACCACAGCAAGGGGCTGATATCAGTTTGGAAGAAGCAATCTAGTAATCTAGGCTCCCATTCTTCGGTAGTGACAGTATATACAACATGCTAAACACTCCTCCTCTTTTACGCCAACCCTCCCTTTCACCACCAAACTRGTAGTCTAGCAGGAATTATCGGTGCGGATGCCAATACCACGGATGCTAGCCCCATTATCTGCCACGCGAGCTAGCACGAAACGTCAGCAATGCTTCAATCCACTTCAATTTGACAGACAGTCGACAATGCACATACCAATGCTGATGTAACCAGGCCCATCAGTGATCTTATCGTCCCAATTTCACGCCATCGGCGGCCATTGCGTTAATAGCGGCTTGCATAGCTCTAGAGTCGTCCGAGTCGAGCTGATGACTGCCATAAAGACGCTCCTCAAACACGGAACCCACATTGGTCTTTTGGCCACCATCGCAAGGACTTTCCCTGGGTAGTGATGCAAGCGACATCTTGTCTGTAGTGGAGGTCCGTCAGACAGTTGGCGATGACTCTATCATCCTCTGTAAAGGGAATGTTGCCCGGCATGGTAGCCGTAGCACCTGGAAATTTAAAGTCAGAAATTCATGGGATATTATGTTGGGAATGAAAGGAATTGAGTACGAACCAGTGGAGGCCATCGGTTGTGCCGGAAATGGTCGTGCAGTCTCCATGGTTGGTGCAGCAAGCGGTAGCAGCTTGTGCGTGTGCACCGACAGACAGAGCTGCCACTGCAGCAATTATCCTAGAAGTCTTAATCAGATTCATGAGATAGGTTGGAAGGATTTTGGAGGACTCACATTGAGAGGCGAGACATAATGTGTTGGTTTGGGTTGTTGGCTTGTTGGCTTGTAGTGTTGTTGAACGTGTGATGCCGTGATGTTGATGTAGAAGAGGCAATGAGAAGGTGTGCAGTGGCTTTATATACACGACGAGAAGACGATACAGTTGATGCGGATAATACCACACCCGCCTTCGCCATTGGCATATCCAACATTGGCGGTATTCTCTGCTAGTATCGGCACACCATGTGGCATAATCCTTCTACAGGCAGCAGTCTCATCGCTTGGACGGAAGGATGGAGGCAGAAGGATGGAAAGTAGCCATGCACCGGTAGGGGATAGGCATTCTGAGCTGAAAAGACAAATGCCGCTTCGGTAGGCGTACGGAAGCCCGAGTTTGTACAAAGACGCAAGATTGTTCGAGGTAACTTAACCATAGACTATAGATGCTTCACGAGCCTCGAGCTTGTAATGGAGAGATTCAAAAGATCTATACATTCGAAGAGAGGAGGGAAATTCGCTTCCCGTTGATGCCAGCCGCGCTTCACTGATCAAGATTCCTGCATGATCCTTCGTAGGATGAATCAAAGCATCAGAGCGGTCGGATGATACCGATTTCGTGCTAGATTGCCGTTGCCACGCGCGCTATCATTCGATTGATTATCAATCCTTCGAGGCAAGAGTCCGCTACTGTCACAGGCCTCCTCCCGGTCACTATCGAATTCAACATCAATGCATGGAGTCCTAGAGACTTCCCTGACACACATCTCACGGCAATTATCCACGAAATCTGGTAGGTAGGTAGGTGGTAAGCAAGAACAAACTAATATGTAGATCTCATTCATCTGACTTCGTACTAGGCCGCATTAGGATATATGCTGCGCTTCTCCCTTTCTAGGCACTAAAATGGGCTAAACACCCTCGGAAGCCACGTAGCTAGCCTCTAGATAGCAAGAGATCATTTTAGAGAAAATGAAACTAAGTTCCTCACGTGAGTCTTGAAATTGAACGCATCCCAATGACAAATTCCCGGTTAGTCTGGCTTATCACGATGCTGCAGTAGTGCGAAAGGTATCCATGTTGGCGATTGTCATTGCAACAACTCTTAGCTCTTTGGCCCTACATGCTTCTGGTTCAGGACGCGATCTTGAAATCATCGTTGAAGGGGTTCCTTTTCGATTGTCAAAGCCAGCGCCGTGGCCAGACGCTATGCGTCAACGTAATAGAAACTCCGGATCGCTTTTCGTGGACCCGTGCTACGCATTAATCCCTAGCTTTCAATCTCACCCCATATCTGGGTGGTCTAAGATCGTCCGAAACACGTTGATACGCTCGATTCCACGTTTCCTGCTACGAGCTCGCCGCCGGACCTTTCCTACCATCTGTCGCCTCGCCTTGAGAGACACTGAAACCGCCGCTTTAGTACTCCGATCTCCCACCCACTCCATCCAAACAAATGATTCTTGGAACATTTCGTTTTCGTACCGCTGACCGCTGATGGGTGCCGTACAGTCGATGTCGAGCGGCTTTGACCGAAGACAGCACCATCAGCTGGACCCGAGATTGGTCATCGGGGAGAGAACTCCATGTTCTAAATGAAATACACAAGATCTTGGCACACAGACAGCTTCACTGTCTCCGAGAACCACGCAAAGCACTTTAGGATTCGACATTTCGTCTCAAGCGCCACTCCGGAGAAACTTTTTCCCGCGAGGTAGAGAGGATTGTTCCGAGATAGTTCTCTTGGTAAAGGACTACTGATTAGACGACGGTAATCCGAGACTGAGGATTGACCATCGAAATAGGGGATGGCGTCTACTTGAGTTACGAGTAGCTGTATGCTCCCTACTATATTGTGAGATTATCACTACTTTTCGATACGAGAGCCTCTATCTCAAACAACGCCAAGTTCTTGGCATGATCTACGTCGACACTTTGCAGGGCAGAAGGCGCCTGTTCTGTTAGTTGAAACAACGACAGAAGGGTGTGATGGGACGGATACTGCCGCCGAAGAACGCACACACATACACACCCTCCTCATCCATCAATCGCTTAGCGATATATACTGGCCAAGCTAGTAACGGACCAGCCGGCGAAAGATAATCAGGAGCTCTTTCCTTCCGAAACAATGTATGCATAGACGCAATTCCCACCGGCATACGCCATGGGGAGAATCTAGCTACAGATAGATGAAATATTTGCTGACATTCGTCTACTTCGGGACCATCGACTTCATCAACACAAGACGCCAAGCCTCGCTAGCATCGACCATTTTCTAGACGACACGCCAAGTCAAACTCGCAAGCATACAATGGAAGCAGCTGCTGAACAAGCAGGTAGATCTTGGTAAAGAAATCAACGGTATATAGACCACCATCTCAATCCTTCCACCACAAACTCACTCATTCCAACTCATCCCATCACCTCCACTCCTTCCTCACACCTCATCATCGTCACTCGTTTATCTTCTCACATTCATTTACCAACCGCCTCTCCCAAAATGCAGCGTAACCTCCGCTCCATCATCTCCGCAGCGCTGCTGGCAGCGCCCTTTGTCAATGGCCACTACATCTTCTCCCAGCTGATCGTCAACGACTCCCCCGTAGGATCCGACTACTCGTACATCCGCAAAAACACAAACTCCTACATGCCCTCCTTCACCGCCGACGTCGTCGACTCGCCCGATCTCATCTGCAACCAAGGCGCGCAGACGGCCTACTCGGAGACGTACGACGTCGTCGCAGGCGACAAGATTGGCTTCAAGCTCTCCTTTGGCGAGTTCATTGAGCATCCCGGCCCGGCGTTCGTTTACATGTCCAAGGCTCCGGATACCGTCGACACTTATGATGGTACGGGAGATTGGTTCAAGGCTTTTGAGAGCGGTGTCACTGGTGATGCGGCTACGGATACCAACTGGGCTTCGTGGCAAAAGGACCGCATTGAGTTCACTATTCCGGCGGATATCCCTGATGGCGAGTACCTAGTCCGCGTAAGTCGTACCATGAATTCACTATCTGCAAGGATTCGTCAGACTGACAATTTCTCYCCCACCATTTAGCCAGAGCACATTGCTATCCACGAGGGCCACGTCGGCAAGGCCCAGTTCTACATGGAGTGCGCCCAGCTGCGTATTACTGGCGGTGGTAGCGGAACTCCATCTCCATTGGTGCAGATTCCCGGTCTCTACAGCGCACAGGACCCAGGTATTGCTTTCGACAAGTGGAGCGGCAACACCGGTATGTCTTACAGATCCAAACTATTTACAACAGGTGAACTCCCAAGCTGACTTTCTTTCAGGCACTTACGAGATGCCCGGTCCAGCTGTCTGGGGAGGCGGCGGTGCTTCAACCAGCGCTGCTTCCACCACCGGCGGCTCTGCATCCACTGGCTCAACCTCTGGCACCACTGGCGGTGACGCTGCTGCTGCTGTTGGTGGTTCCGCTTCTGGAGCTACTTCAGGATCTACTTCAGGATCCGCCTCGACTGGCGCTACAAGCGGCTCTTCCTCAACTGGTGCTGATGCTGCCACCGGCGGTTCTGCTTCCACAGGTGCTAGCACCGGTGCTGCTGCCGGCGGTTCCTCATCCACCACCGGCGGTGCTGACTCCGGTTACGCTTCTACTGGTGGTTCGGCTGCTGCTGCGCCTGCCTCTGGAAGCAGCGGCTCGACTTCTGGAACTACTGGCTCTGCTGCTGGCGGTGCTGCTGCTGGTTGGGGTGGCTCTGCAAACACCGGTGGTTGGTCTTCCARGGGCCACGCCCGTGAGTTTGAGGCTTCTTGCTAGAGGATCGTTTCTCACGATACGTCCTCTCCGCGGATGGATTCGAGGGAAGACGGTGTCTACCCTCGCAGTGAAATGGCTTCTGGGTGACGAACTCAAGCAACAAGTGCAATTCAGGGGTGCTTCGATGGGCATTCACTTGTTGTTCTTGTATGGGGAGGCTTTTGTAAAGATACTCATTGGATGGGAGTCATGCCTGGATGGTATAGCTTCCGCAATGATTCAATAGCTTGGACATACTTACACTAGCCGCTGGCAGCTAGATAGAATGTCTAAACGATTGGATGCCCTTGTCCTTTGACCTTTGATAACGACTGAACCTCTTTTCCGCATTAGCATTCTCACGTAAGATGGCACCTGGCTAAGAGGTCTCCCGCATCTTCGAATGCCTTTCCAGCATAGAGACAATTCTGTGGTAATCCATATTGGAGGAAGGTCTCTTCAATCTCCATCAACCGGTTGTACTTTACCACATGCTCTCCCCGACACGGCGCACCAGACTTCAGGTGACCGGCTCGAAGGCCCACCGTAAGGTCGGCGAGGAAGTCGTCTGTCGTCTCGCTAGAAGAGTGTGACACGACGACGGAGAATCCTGAGTTGAACGCTTCTTTGGCACTGTGGCAAGTCAGGTCAGCTTAGCGCCCTTGGCTCATTGTGAGCGCGCAGTAGGCATACATTGCAAGCGAGTCGGAGATAGTTCCAATCTGAGTGATCTTCAGCAGTAGCGCATTGCACGCAGCAGACCGTTTCGCGTACTGTAGTCGCTCGGGATTTGACAGCAACAAAGCACCACCGACGAGCTCGAGCTCGTTCTTGAAGCTCGCGTTTAGTGAAGTCCATGTCATCCAGTCGTCATGTCCAAAGGGGTCCTCCAAGAGGAGGATCGGGTATTTCTTCGCCAAATCTTGGTACAAAGATATCAACTGGCTCCGGGTCCAACATTCTTGCGACCCATCGCCAGCGTCGTACAGGCCGTTCCGCTCAAAAGCCTGCCCGGCTGCATTGATACCAATCTTAATTCTGCCCTCATGACCTGCCCTTCGAATTGCCTCGACCAAGAGATCCAGTGGATACGAAGGGGCCCGGGGCAGCAGTACAAACCTGCCTTGGTCATCAATGGTGAATCCTGAATCCTTCTCGAAGATCACGTTCTTCAAGCACTCATACGTCTCGGTGTTGAGACGCACTGCCTCCCTGAATGAGGCGGCGCCGATAGGGGCGATCATGAATTCGCGAAAGTTGATCTTGTTGCTGGAGTTTTGACGGCCTTTCAGCACAACCATGAAGGGCACCGGCATGACGGAATTGTACAAGCTCATGCCTGCTTCTTTCGCAATGAACTTGTATAGTGGTAGCCCGCTCGCCTGGGCTCCGGCCCGTGCAGCACACATGCTAACGGAGAGAATCGCGTTGGCGCCCAAATTGCTCAGGTTCGTCGTCGAGTCCAATTTGCGCATCAAACGATCGATTTCCTTGAGTTGAGTGGCTGGTTCGAGTCCGATCAGTGCGGGACGAATAATCTCGTTTATTCCCTGCACGGCGCGCGAGACGCCTTTGCCGCCATTGATGCCCCGGACTCCATCGCGGAGTTGGCAAACGTCGTTCGCTTCTCCAGGAGCGCTCGACGGGACGAGGGAGGCGAAACGGCCATGCTCGGTTGTCATTTTAGTCTGGATGGTCGGGATTCCCGTCGAATCCAGGCGTTCAGAAGCCCATATGTCTTGGATGGGCATTGGGACGATGCTTGCTTGGGTATAGGTAATGTGTGTAGTGTAGTGTAGTGCTGTGTTGTTGAGGCTTGATGTTGTCTTGATACGTTGTCTCGATGTCGTGGAAGGTTGGGAGAAGTGGAGGGCAACGCAAGTCCATCCAGGGTAAGTAGTTGCCATGCCTGGTCGACTGGATCCTGGAAGTCGCTTCGAATCGAACGAGGCAAGTGGATTGATCCCAAAGTCATGAGGGAAGCGCTCAGGGTGGATCATCGCATGCACTCACCAGGAAGGTGTTGCCCTCAAACAAACTCCGAAATGTTGACGACCTAGGGGACATGTTGAGAGTCTCGAGTATCTCCGGGCGACTGGAGATCCTTCATGGTAGAATCTTTCTTTCATACAGCCTGTATGCTGCACATGACACCATCAATGCACACCCACTGCCCCTAATACATTTCGCAAATAACGCTTCCAATCCAATCCAATCCAATTCAACACATCTTCTCGTCTTCATGAACCCCTTTCATCACCACCCAAACTTCAAATCGGCGGTGCCCCACCTTCAACCAAACTCCTCAACTCCCTCACGACCTTCCCAACCAACGTACTCTCCCCAGCCTCCCCGACACCCCTCGCCCACCTCTCCTCCAACACCCCAACAGCGACAACTCTCTCACCCAACCCTCTTCTCCCTCTCAACAGCCCTTCCGCCATCCCCTTGACCCCTTCGGCATCATACTCCAACTCCGGAATGTCACTCGCATCAATCCCTTCGGCCGCGCCCCTGGCTGCATCACTCCCCAAGACCCTCCCCAACAAACACAGCACATTCGCCTCCTTCACCATACCCAACGTGACCGCTCCAGCATGAGGATTCCTCGAACTAGGAACTTCATTGACCAACGCCTTCTCAGCTCTCCTCAATTGTTCCGTGAAGGAATTGAGAAACGTCGCAACTTCAGCTGCGATGGGTGGACCAACCGTATCCAGCAAGTTCAAACACAACGGTAGGAATCCTTCGGTCCAGATACTATACATTCTCACCGGGGAGTCAAAAGGTCCTTTACCGCCGGGTTTCCGGAAGTAGTTCGACAGATTGGCGCTCGCGAGTTGAGTGAGGATTCCTTCGAGTGCCATCTGCACAGCAACAGGTCGGATTTGTGAGAGTGCCAAGAGGAATGTGACGGCGATTTCCCCGTATATTGGGTCTTCTCCGAGTTGATCAGACCATGAGTACAAACTCAAAGCGCCGCGAACGACGGAGGAACTTGCAATCATGTCCGAGAGGAGCGTGGAGACTGAGTTGATACCTGGCACTGCAATGATAGCTTGTAGGAGCGCTGTGAGTAGGGCAAAGTCCGCGGGCAGAGCCAACTCAATATCATGATGGAGATTCCCACACAAAGCGCGGAAGCCAGGAGTTATGACGTGATTGACAATCGCGACCATGCATGAAGAAGTTGCTGGAGGGAGGTAATCCATATGTGGTTCCTCCGAGGAGATTGTGGCTCGGGAAATATAGTTGTGGGGTTGGATGGCCAGGTAAAGGACTTGCAGTAATTGGCGATAGTATCGCACATCTTCGGCGGCGGTTGCAACATCGTAGTCGACGGGGGAAGTTCGAACAAGCTCCCATGCAGCCGCGAGAAGAGTCTTGATGGCATCGGCTTTGCAGCGTAGCGCAACGAGTTTGGATGTGATGATGAATGCAAGCTCGACGCGGAGCTGTAGCACATCTGCTACGCCCGGCTCGTTGACTTGAGGGCTGGCGTTGGACAAGAGGCATTCCTGTGCGACTAGAGCCAGCTCATTCTGCAGACTCGGATCCTGATCCGCACAATCGCAGAGRGTCGTCGCTAGAGTCTTCCAGCTCTTCAACAGGGCGGTCTGCGCATGAAGGAGGCTCAGATTTGCGTTGGCGCGGGAGAACTCATCTGCATAGCCAGCCGAGCGTGTGGGATCTTCGCCAACCCAGCAAGAATCATGGCCGAGGACGCTGGCGGCAAGTTCCCGATCGTAGAAATAGTCGAGACCAAAGGGAGCGGGGTTGGCTTCTGTGCGCTTGAAGTCGGAGAGATCGCTTTGAGGGAACTTGGCTTTGAGATTGTCGGCGAGATTGGCATGGAGCGAGCGGTTGTAAGCATCCACTGTGACGCCATGCTTTCGGAGAAAGTCAAGTTTTGGCACGAGGAGCTTCAACACGGAATTGTCACCAATCTCAAGACTGGCGTGCAGGTTGATGGCGAGGATCTCACATAGATATGCAGCCATCTCGCACTCCCTCGCACTGATCAAAGCTGCTGCGGATGGTGGATGTCGTGGTGCGGCAGTCAACGAGTTGAGCCAAGCCAGCGTGCTCTTGAGAAAGTCGGCGTGCGACCGCAATTCGTTGGTCGCCCATACCCATGTCTGCTGAGCTACAGCGACAAACTTGAGCATGCCAACTGCGCGGTGGGGCGGTAGTGTTGATATTGTCGAGAGCTGATCTAACGCGTAGCTGAGAATCGGCTTTCCTTTGATGGCCTCTGCCTCTCCACGGTGTCCCCTCACTTTTGGTAGTGCACCGGTGAGTAGGTATATCGCAAACCACTGCTGCCTGCTGCCCATGACGATAGACAAGAAGTCCCAAATATGGCGCTCGACGGCTACATCGCACAGCGGACGATCTAGCTGTGTAATAACTTTGAGGAGAGACTTTGACGCTTCGGGATCGAATTGCGCCAGCACAGATGGCGGATCTTCCTCTCCACAGCCTACAGTCTGTACCAGCTCGCCGAGCAGAGGGAATAGATCTGCCTTGAACGCATGATCGCTTGCCAGAAGGGACGCAAGAGCTGGCATGCTCTGCAAGAGATCTGAACAAAGTGTCTTCGCCCTTTTTGCTCCCATTGTCTGCCTATCCGTGTCAAGACTTTTTTGCACCACACCTTTCATCTGATTCGAATCTTCTTTGGTGACGAGAATGTCTACACCACCCTTGGCCGATCGAACGAGAAGAGTCGAAAAGGTGAAGAGAGTGTTGGTCTGGGCAATAAGCAGCGCACGCAACTCCACCAGTACATCATCACCCGCCACGGGTAGGGCGTCCGGCAAGAGTCGACTGAAGATGTTCACCAGTGGACTGCTGCCTCCTTGTGGCACCCAAGTGTCAAGTAAAGTTGCTGCTGCTGGTGCAAACACGTTGGTCAGTCGTTTCGTAGGCTCCTTGCCGTGATCGATACCGTACGTGCTCTTCAACAACCGGCTGAAGCCATCAAATATGCCAATGATAATGTTACATCGCTCGCAGGCGTTTTGGAACTTCCAGTCGGGCAGGCTCTGTAATGCATCGACTAGGATCTTCTGGTAGGAACTCAACACGGCGCTAGTTGTTCGCTCAGAGGTGGAATGCGAAGATTCGACTTGCGATGCAAAGCGATGTGCAGGTCTTGCAGGTTGGCTCTTTCTCTGCACAAGCCCCGCGATGCTGTCTTCCAAAAGCAAGGAATGCAGCTTGACACACGCCGCGAGGAAGCGGTATTGTCCGAGTTGCACTTCGGCACCACCAACAACCGCAGCTAATGAAGATGCGCCGTCGACAACACCGAGAAGACTGCTACGCGCGAGCATAGACCAGGCTCGTTCGGGCGCTATGGTGACCAGCACACACATGAAGTTGGCGCAAGATACAACCAAATCTAGTGAGCCCGGCTGAGCGACTTGTTCGAGATGAGCCAGCAACTCCGTCTCAAAGACCTCGCCTACGACAGAGACGAGGTCATGTCCGTCCTGCAAAGCATTACTGAGACGTCCCAGGAGGTGTTTGGCGTCATTCGAAGATGGGTCTTGCTCTTGCACAGCTTCAAGCATGGCCGTGAATAGACCAATAGTCTCCGCAGCTGTAACACGATCCAGTTCGGCGCCGGGACCCACGGGCAGCAATTCACTGGATGCCGTAAAGGTGGATAGCAACAGGCCCAAATACTCCAAGCCTGAGTGTTCGTGCTGAAGCTTGATCACACACGGGCTCCGCTCACCCACAAGCACACCACGTGTGTTGTTGGGAATCTCCCAGACGCCTCGCTGCTCGTTGCCAGGCTCGCCCATGGTGATTGCACGGCGTGATGGATTCAGCGAGAGGAGGGCTAGTCTTGTAGCGAATATCGGCAGAGCGGCGGTGAGCTGCATTCGGTTTGCATTGTCATCTTCATGCTCTAGCTCGTACGATCGGAAACTATCCGGGACCATTTGAGTAAAAGACTGTAGGTTGTCAAGAATTTGCTTGGCCTGCATCGCGCCACTTGCATTACCGATCTGTCCGCCCGCACTCGACACGGCAGTGAGTAGACGTAGCAGTGGTGAGAGCTCATATGGATAGCGTGCAAGCGCTTGATCCAAAATATGAGTCCGAAACAAGTCATTGTCGGATAAGAATTTGCTCGCCAGGGCACGAGCATGTCTTCGGGAAGAGGGTGTCGTGGAGTCTGCAGGTTGCTCTATAAGTGAAAGAATGACTTCAAGAAGTTCCCCGCCATACTGCACAAATGGCAAGCCTTCCCTGAGGAGATCCAGAAGAGTCTCTTTCATGGCAAACCCTATGGCTGACTCGGATGCTGAGCTGAAGAAGGTGTTTGCGAGATTGCTCRGACCTGCAATGACAGCAAAGGCTCGCATACGATTGACGGCGGAACTGAGAAAGTACAGCTGTGGGTTGTCTCTGTTCTCCTCCAACTCGCGATCCTTCAGCCAAGCGAGCATTCTTTCGAACTCTGATTGCCAGTCTACTGATCCACGTCGAGACGAGCGCACAAGGTTGTCCAGCTCTTCATCACCTTGGTCATGTCTTCGCTCGCGGACCTCTTTGTGGATTGATGCAATGTCCTGAATGATGGACGTGATGATACTCCAGGCGTAGATGGCGGGCGCTGCGATGCTGAGCTCCATCTGGGCCGCTCGATAGAGTGTGAGATTGACGCAGGTCAAGCACGCTTCATTCTTAATGTAGAAGTTTCCACCCAGAGGTTCGGTATCCGCACCTGCCGCATTCATCAACTCTGCTGTGACCAGCTGTAGCTTCAACATGTCGACTGATATGACAGATACGAGCGCTTGAGGAATGGACATGTCTCCGAATAGAGGAAAGTCTCCTTGTAGAAAGGAGTACTTGTCCATGACCGTGAACCATGACTGAACCGTGGTCGCGCTCGGTACTCCATCGAGGGTATGCAGGGTCGAGAGCATCAAACTCAACGCACTGACAATCTCGCCAAACTGAGAGGCAATGTATATCTGCGCCTTGTCGTCGTCCTCGGTGAAGATCTTTGGCCATGTGCTGGAGTCGGAAGCACCTGCTATGGCGGCCTCCACCCTGTCCACACATCTAACACAAAATGCTTCGGCTTCGGTAATGCGTCTCGGTGGACACATGGCGTCTGCGATAATGGCTGCTGCCTCATCGATCCAATTCCGTCTGGCATTGCTCTCCAACAACCCAATGTTCCGTCCTTGGATATCAGCCTTGGCGAGGGCAATGCGGCCCATCAGATGCGCGCTCAGCTTCATCAAATGGCTCTTTTCGCTCAAGTACACATTCAACAGACGTCGCCGTCGCACATCCTCCTTGGCAAAGTCCAGAGCAGGTCTGGAGATGCCCCTGGCTGTGGACGCAGAGAAATTGAAAGCATCGCTTCGCGCAAGCTCGGCGGTGGTGGGTAATGACAGAGACAGCCCATTCCCCGCCGTATTCAACAATTGATCTGCCGGTCGTTCCTGCCACTCAACAATGGCCATTCGCAGAGCAGTCAATTCCTCCACTTGCACCTCTCGCGACAACCATTGCGCATCCACCTTGAGCTCCTCCAGGTTGTAGTCGACATTGCTTGTTTGCGCGACATGGATCGGGGCCGTCTTGGTGGAGAATTCGGTGGCCGTTTGTGTCGAGGGTTTGATGAAGGGATTGAGGGCGACGGCCAGCAGGGACCGTGTCTCGTCGTCGGAGAGGAAGTGTTGGAGTTGTGTATTGTCCACCGCGGCCGACTCATCGCAGAGGGCCCGGTATGCTGTTCGCCATGAGATGAGAGTCGCATTTCCAGCAAGACACTGATCCAGCGGAGGAAAATAGCTATTGGAATTGCCCGCCATGGTGGAGGATGCGCCGTCTTTCTTCGTTCTTTCGTTATGTCGTGTGTGTCTGTCTACAAGACTAGAGCTGTKCGCGCTGAAGCTGCCTCCATTCTCCGTGAATGCTGGAAATGTGGAGTGCAATCGTTGGTAGAGGTGGATTTCCCGTCCAACTTCCCAAATGTTTGTGGTGCAAGTAGGTTAGTTAGGTGCAGGTAAAGGTAGACGCGCAAATGAATGTTTCGCGTCGCTTGAGTTGCCCGATTTGGATCACGCTTCGGGCTGCTCTCCCAGCACCACACCAGTGGACCACCTCAAGGCAATCCACTTCCGCCGGCCCTCACTGCCCTTCAATACCACCAAATATGACCGTCGCAAGCACCATCCAAGACACGGCCGAGAGCGTCAAGTCAGCCGTGGGTTTGGGCCATGGCGGCCACTCCACTCCGAGCAAGCGTAAGCCATTCAACCCTCCATCCTGGGGCCCCATTGTCGCATTGCAGTCCACACATTCTCTGACACCATGACTATAGAAGCCTCCCGCGAGGAAATGTCCGCCGCCAAACTGCCCCTCGCCTACCGCGACTCCTGCGCCGGCCTCTTGATCCCACTGAACAAATGCCGCATGGACAACTACTATTTGACCTGGAGATGTCAGGTAGGATACACATCACCCCATCAGAGTGGAGGTGTAATGGAGAATATCAGGACGGTATGGCTAATGGATCTCGGGACATTACAGGACGAAAGACATTCATATGAAAAATGCCAATACGAGGAATTCAAACTGCGAGTGAAGAAGATGGATGAGATTCGCGCGGAGAAAGGTGGTGCGAGAAGCAATTGAACGGTGGCGGATAGGTGCGAGACGGCGTGGAATTTGAGGGCAGTACGGAGTGAGATCAGAGCGACTCTTACATGTGTATCCCGTACAATGATGAAAATGGAATGGTATGGACATTTCACGTTACCTTATTCCCCATCTCCGATACCCTCGCAGGCCATTCGTTGAGCCATTGGATCCCGCACGTCAGAGGTTTGTCTTGCGAGAATACATACAAATCATTCACTCGTGTACCGGGGACGCTCCTGTTCCCGCGACTCTCTCACCGATCCCCGGAAAACATCACTATTACCCAATCGTGCTTGTCAATCACAACATCCCATATCTCCCTCCCAAATCTACATGATACAGTCCTACACCTTGAACTCCTTGAACCCCTCTAGCAAACCATTCCCACTCTTCGACACCGCACTCCAAAAGGGCTCAAAACGCTTCAACTCATCAAACGCAGGAATCGTCCCTGGGATATTGACATCCTCCCACAAACAAGTCGCATTTCCCTTCTGTCCTTTAGCATCTTCTCCTTTCGCCCAAGTAACATTTACATGGAAAGTCTTGTCCCACTCCCGGCTGAAGAGATGCACGACCTTACTACCCTCTTCGGGGACAGTGCGCATCCTCGGGTCCGAAGCTCCATCTTCAACAACAACGTTCGAAACGGCATTGTCAAAGGATATGCGACATTGCTTCGTGTTGAGTCCGCGAAGACTGAACAGTGCGCTGTCGCCTTTTCGCGTAACATTCAAGTCCATCCAGGATTTGTATGCGTGCTTCACGGTGGAATTACGTGGAAGGCCTGCGTAGCCTCTTGGCACGACATTCGGTGCGAGGCCATGATAGCTGCATTCAGTCAGACCTTTGCGGGTGGAAGATGCGCCGCATGGTAATGGTTGTCCAGCAGCACTCGGCATTTCTGCTACAATGGACTGGAGATACCCATCGAGACCATTGATGGTAACGTTGTTTGCACCGGTGGAGAGGTCCATTTGCTGTACAAAATAKTACTTCATCCGTGACTCTCTGGAAAATGGGAATGCCAGAAGATTGTAGATCAGGCACCCTATGAAGACCAGGAAGAGGAATGTCGGGATGTGGTAGCTAAAACGGTGGAGGAACGGAGCCAGTGGGAGTAGGATGAGGACGGTAAGTCCGGSGATAATGCAGTAACTTCCAAGAACAGAGTTCCCATCGGCAGCCGTCTGCTTGACCGCGGACGTGATCATGAGTGCAATCTGCCCGACGATGATGACGTTGATAGGAGCCAGAATGATGAATTGTAGAACCCACGTCCACTGGGGTAGCTTGGAGGACCACGCCTGTTCGTCCATGTACGCTTTGTTGAGGAAGGGGTCATCAGTATCCTCTGGCACTTCATCCCGATCAGCACGTCGTCGGCTGAAGCGTGTAAAGGTGTGTTGGCTAGTAGCACGACTGCGAGAAGGATCAAGAAGTGAGGTTCTTTCCGTAGGCTCGTTTTCTTCATTGCCTTCCGCGCTGACATCCAAAAGCTGCCGCGAGGATCTGCTATTCGGCCTTGTAGAAGCTGCGTCTGTGTGCTGAGCTCCCAGTACGTGCGCTACGTATTTGCTTATGGTAGGCAGTGCAAACAGCTCGAGATATGATATCAGTAGTGCGATTAGCACGGAAGCCTGATAAATCACAAGAAAGTACCCGCTGCCGAGGTGTAAATTCTTCTCGCCAATCGTAGCGAGAACGAGCATCAACCAGGAGACCGCATACATCCAGAACAATGTGAACATGCGGTGAAGCGCAGTCGGGCGTGTGTTTGCGGCGAGGTTGCTGAGGAACCAAGTCGAGGCGAGCCAGATAGACAGCATCATAGACCACACCGCATATTCACTACTGTAGATAATGTAGGGGTTAATCTTGGTGAGTAGGTAGGCCAACGCTACAACAATGCCTGTTGACACGATGAACGCGATGGGGAAACGGAAGAATCCCCTCTGGCCATGGATCCGGACAGACTCATCATCGTCGGAGGATTTGAGGAATCTCTTTCCWGCGAAAATGTACCATTTATCGCTCCGGCGGAGAAGGACTTCCAGTAGTATCAAAATGACCGGCCCAGCTACTAGTAGGGTGACCGATATCGCGAATAGTGTGTTCAGCTTTCCAACAGCGAAAGCTTTGCCGAGAATGTCGAAGAAAAAGCTGTAGCTTCCAGATCCGATGTGCAACTTGCCATTCTTGCCACGAGAGCCTTCGAACCCATTGCCTCGCTTCGTCAGCTCCTGAACTGTGGCCAAAGCCGAGGAAAGCATATGCCACACGGATGCTGGGCTAGTGTTTGATTTGGAATCCTGATCAGTGTGATATCTTGCCCGAGGCTCATAGAATGCAATGTCCAATCCACGGAGGCCACCCATGTCAGCGAAAATGGTGTAGTCGGTCCCACTTCTGATGAAGCCTTGTGAGAATCCGTCCGAGGACACCACATTTCCGAACGGATTGGGTGATTTGGCGTACGCCTTTGTCACTTCTGCGTCGGTGGAGCGGAAAAGTATAGCACGACCGCCGGCTCCGGCCCCTTCAAGGTTAACAAACGTGTGCGGCAGCTGCGATACGGGATGTCTGCAAGAGTCGTTAGCAGCGTTGCAGGTTGGAGAGCAACACATCAGATGAGTGGTATCGAAACACGAGTCTTTTCGAGCCGCAAGGACTGTATGCTATGATGTAACATACCTCAAGTAGTTGTACGCGCCATACAATCCATTCTCTTCTCCATTGTTGAGCAAGGCTACGATACCTCGCTTGGGTCGATTATGTGCGAAATGCGAAATGAGCTGAAGAATGCTCACAACACCAACACCATCATCCGTAGTTCCGAAACCCGTTGAAACACTGTCGTAATGTGCAGAGACCAGAACACCAGAAGGGCCGGTATAAGGTGTCGTTTCGTTCCACCAGTCGCCTTCGGAGTCCTCGAGTTCGCCACGGATGTAGACGAGTATGTTCTCCGATTCGCCATAGAGAGTAGCAGCGCGTTTGGACCAACTATCAGCAGCCGTGAAATTGGAAGTATCATTAGCAAAGACAGTAACAAGCTTCGGAGAAGCTGGAGAATCCGAGATAAAAGTGCCGTTGGTCGAGGCATAAACCGTCTTGTGATCCACATCCTTCAGAACGTCTTCGATCCGGTTTAGAAGGTACTTCCGGACTTCGTCGTTCCTTCTGCTCGACCACGGCTATAAGCGGGAATGTAGGTCAGCATGCGTCTTGGATACCTATTTGAGTATAAGGGAAAGGCCTCGAGACACGCCCGATGCCTTCCACATTCCACTTTACCTACATGATATCCATCGCTGATAAATTCAAGATCCCGCCATGCCTGAGTGAGGTTGATGCCGTTGACAGGTGTAGCTGAGCGAGGAGCCGGTGGAACCGAGACGTGCTGGAAAATCACAACGACGAAAGCCGCCGCGTAGATAAGCGCTCCAATAGTAGTCACTTGAGTAACGAGGAAGGAAATCGGATTCCAGGATCGCGTCGTCTTCGCCATGACGCCTGTCGAAAAACAAGAACTCCCTCGAACCGTGCGTGTCTTGCGGTGCAAAGAGCACGAGACCGATGCACGAATTCGCCCGTGTCTAGCAGTGCGAAATGCACGGGACTGATGCGCAACCTTTCAAAGAATCACAGAGATGCGAGAGACGAAGAGATGGAGGTGGAGGTGGAGGGTGGAGGTGAGGTCGGAGAGGTTGAGGTCCAAAACGTCACGGACGAGTGGCCGGCTCCACTTTCGTGGAACGGAGTCCGCGAGATTTGAACGGCTCTACCACAAAGCAGCCGCAAAGTTACGGCGCCTTTACAGATATTGTCTAGAACGAGTCATAGATTGTATATACTGCTGAGATCGAGAAAACCTCTTTTGGAGTGCATTCGGAGACTTCCCCGCTGTCCGATTCCTCCGATAATTGACACATCACTTCCCGACAGAGAGGGCATATCTTTACCTCAGAGTTGAGCCACACTGAACTTGAACAACCTATTCTCTCAAATAAATTGCTTCGAATCGTAGTTGAACTATCGTAAATGCATCGATGGGTATCATTGAACCTCTATACTCACCAAATCCTCCAACCCCATCATCAACAGCAGAAACAACATAAACCAAATCCCAAAGCCGACCATGCGCGGACATCCCGATTGAATGCAATAAAGGGTGAAAGCCTATGCTCAACTTCCCTCGGTCGACCAACTCGATCTCTTCATCCCTGGTAACTGGGATAGCCTGGAGGCAACCATTCTCCACCGCCAAAGAGTCCATTGATATTGATATCACTCATATCTTGCTGAAATGGCTGCTGCCCAGCCCACCCGCCGTTCGCAATCTGCATAGCGTTGGCGGCCATTCCAGATTGTGCCTGTGGAGTACCGAAACCCATGGACGGCGTGGATCCCATGAGTCTCTGCGACTGCATTGGCATGGGCTGTTGTTGACGCTGTTCGATATAAGGAGGGAGAGGGTAGAATTGAGCCTCAATGTTCTCATCTCGGCCTCGAGAAGATGACATGGGGCTATTGTTACCAATACTGTTGTAGACTTGGCTGCTGGGGTATATGCTGTTTTTACCAAACTGTTGATTGTTCTCGAACGTAGTCAAAGGTTGATTGGGGTATCCAAACGGCTCTTCTCCGGATGGAAACATCATTGAGGACAAGTCAGTTAGTTCCGGGTTACCGAGACCTTGCGATGTCGAGTAGAGTGACATTCCACCTGCGGTCTGGCCCGCGTTCCTTTGGTTGGCCGCTGCGAATGTGGTGGTGTCAAAGGGTGCGCTTGTTGGCGTCTCAACTCCATATGATGAGGCTGACTGAGACCAGGGACTATCAAAGGGTGATGCTTCTGCAGTGCCTTTGGGCTTAGTGTCTACGTGCTTGGGGAACGTGCTGGCTCGCTTTATGCCCATTTGAGGTGGTTCCTCATTAATCGTGGATACATCGGGATGGCTCCGAGACGCGACGGGGGCGAGATCCGTTTGGCTAGGCTTGGTACTCTGGTCAAACGGTCGTTTCTTGGAGATCGTAGGATTCTGTTCGCCGTCTCTCATCCACGCAGGGAGTCTCTGAAATAAAATGTCAAGCGTCGCCGTGCAGCGATCTGCCGCCATACTTCGTGATGCCAGGGAGGCAAGAACTTCTTTCCCTATCAGATATACAAGTATTAGCTATTGTAATAACGGCATCAGGGGAAAGTAGACGCTTCGGTGTCCATCGCTTGACTAGCGAACAGGCTACCGCCCAAATGCGCGGCACATGTCGTTCTAGCAAAGATGATTGGCAAAACTCACCTTCTATAGCATCTTTCATGACGGCCTGGGTCGTCGGATTGTCCGGATTCTCAGCTGCGAAGTAAACAAGCGCAAGGATGGAGAAAAACGTCGTGTACATGATGAACCAAAACGCTCCATTAAGAAGACCTTTCTGTTTCATCTGGGATGCAATGTGGACAATGTTGCGCGATACGTTCACAAAGGATGCAGCGCAGGCATACGCCCTTGGGTCCACGTGTTTGGATCTCTTCTCCATTGCGGTGAAATGTAGGAATGGTCGGTACAGCAGAACCTGTGCGTGGGCATACGACAGTCGGAGAAGCTGCTGAATCCGCGTATATCTCTCCGGCGCATCGCATGGTGAAAGAATTGATGGCAGGCTTGTCTTCCACTCTTCCATTTCACTCTCAATCTCCCGTATAGCAGAGAAAGGCACCGAGTAGGACTTGTCTTCTGGCCCCTGGGGATTTTGTACGTTGATGGGATAGATTTTCCGCATAACCTTTTGTAAAATGATCACCAACCGCGTATGCGCATTGAACGCGGTCATCAACGAAACAACCCCTTGCGGCATGGGAAGAATACCATCTCTCGTAATGTACTCATCGTCGACCTCGAGCGGATACTCCTGGTCAATATCTTCGTCGCTCAGCGTCTGCGGAAGGCCAAGCATTGCGCCGACATAAACGTCCAGTTTGCGTACGATCCAGAATACGCGTTTTCTACTCTCCGCTTCTACGGGATCAAACTTGCCAGTCGCTGCGCGGTGTAATCCCATTCTCAAAGCGGATCGGAGAGCCACACCAACATAGGCGTAGCATTGTGACATCTTGGCGGTTGATTGCAAGAACRGAATCATAAAGATGACTGCCTGAATCGATGTCAAGTCTCTGCAATCAGCAATGTCCATGAGTTGACGGGCATGTTTGAAATAGGCAAATCCCTGCTGGAAAGCACTTTCGTAACCTTCCCTATTGATGATTCCGTCATCGTCCCTTCCAAAGAGACTTCCCAATGCCATTGCACTGTAGAATAAAGGCAGAAAACTGTTGTCCTCGTTTGTGTAGTGGTCCGATGGGACATTGTAYAGGCGCTCGAAGCCATTCCAAAAGGTAGGTTGATGAACCGTACGCAAAAGTGCTGCAGCGTCATTTACCGCGTATATGCAAAGCTGTTTTGCCATCTCCTGAGGCGGCAGCTCTGTACTTCCAATGGAAGATGACTCGCCCATGGGTGACTCCGCCAAGGACCTTGGCGAGTCYAGGACTGGCGCCATCAGCTTCCCCTTGACGAATGGTCCAGTCATGGTAGCATCGGGGCCCATCAGGTCTCCAAGCTGTTCACGCATTCTTCGAACGAAGCTCAGTCCGGACGAATGGCCATGGTAATCCCAATGACCCTGCTCGTCCATGTCAAGTTGGGCAACGGCACGAACCATGGACTCCAGGTGCGCATCGGATTTCTTGTCATCACTTGGCGCAGGAGCTGATCGAGGCGGTCTATTCTCTTGARCCGCTCCAGGATCGCCTTTGCCGGGAGCGCCAGGAATCCAGCCCTGGGCGACGGCTTGGTCGATGCCTGGGTCATTCAAATCCAGATTTGGGATCAGTATGTGCAGCAGCGTCTCAGCGCGGTGTACACGATGCTCCAAATTCTCAACATACTGCGGAGCGGGGTTCCTCCGTCGGTTTGAGGGCTGGTCGTAAGTACATTCTACGCGGAAAGTCAATAACTTCATGTTTGCATGGGAGAGGGGTTGATTCGACCGACCATAGCTGTAAACGGTACAATGCGTGCACGGCTGCTTTCCGTCACACTTGATCTTTTTTCTCCTGCATTCGTCGCACGCTCGTGTGACTCGTYGCCGTTTTTGCAGGTGGCCTGGTGTTTTGCCACTGGATGCACTCTGTCCTGCAGCGCCGAAACTCGCAGCGGGCGAGGTTCCCTCGGTCTTGATGTTCATGTCGTCAGCAAGCGACTCAGCGTCGCTGACCTGCTCATCGTAGTCGTCGTGCTCCATGGTCGCCAGGACACAGGGAGAGTTGGGGATGAAAGATTAGCAGCTAGAAAAGGCTTCACAGCATTGAAATCGCCTAGCCCGGGCCAGCAGTACTTTTGAAGATATTTGCACGACCCGATGGAGCTGTGACGTCCTCAGGCTGCGCGCTTGGCAAATCGCGCGGTGGTAAGGTGGAGCTAGTCCTTGGTTCTTGTAGCGAACGACCGGGGCGGGATCTTCAGCCCKGCGCGGCTTGGGATGTGGCGGTTGTGGATTTCCGTGGCAATGTTGGACCAAAGTAGACGCCTAAGGCTTGGAGTGCATGGCAGGGACGGTCATGAGGAGGACAGGGCCGTGTGAGAGGACGAGATGCGGAGCGATGTGTGGAACAACGTCAGGGAAAAAGACTGAGCCTCAGCCCAGGCGTTCAGTCAACTCCACCCAAGATTCCCCCAGCCAAGACGCTACTATCCATTGCTGCAGAAGGAGACTGTGCCTCGTGTGACAAACACTTTCACCCAGCACCCTGAGCATGTACCAATCAAACTGCAGCGTCGTTTGAGACTCGCGAGCCAGGCCGCGCGCTCATCGATGCCCGCCCGCCCGCAGGAAGCGTCCATTGTCCGCCCGCCGACATAGGCTGGCATGGTCGGAGTTAAGCTTCCAAGCCTCTGGGTGGGTGGCTTCCACGCGCCCTTAGCCTYGATGAGGCGCGGTTGAGGCTGAGTGGCTTGAACCTGCATGCAAGGTAGACATCCGAACAGCACGCGCTTGCTGTCCCACCAGCTGTCAAGCTGTCACCGTCGCGCCACGCTACCATGCTGCAATGCTACGGCCAGCTTTCCACATCGACTCTCCCTTTCCCACTACTGCAGCAGACACCGGAGTGATGCAATGGCAAGTCTGCAAGGGGAAGCCGATGCCGCTAAACACACGACGGCGTTGTCCCCGGACGCCTGGCCGACGGACGATCGTAGAACCTACCCGAACGCCATGCGAGGGGTGCCCTGAAGCCTGGAAGCTTGTTGAGTCACTGGCGGCATCCGAGGACGATTCCTGGTGATGATGCAAGATCTGTATCGGAGTTCCACGCCCGCGTCTGGAGCGACATTGACAAGCTTGTCGGATCCGCAACCTTCAGTCGCCAACAGCTCCACGACTCGGCGACTCGGCCTCTCCCTGCCCTTCACACAAATTCGTCAGCAGTTCGGTCCCGAAGCACAAGGTTTCAATGTAGCCAAAGACCGCATTCCTCTATGGCATACTCCGTGCTAAGCAGAAAGATCTCGCCTGCTATCGCCTCGTCCACCGCTCGGCCTTTGAATGCAGCCTATTTGTGTTCATTCGGTACAGAGGTACTGTTCGTACGTACGAGTCGATCCTTTAGGGCTCGCTCCACCTGGCCCACATTACTAGACGAATCCTTAAAAAGGTACTTTGTTAAAATGAGCAAGGCTACACGGTTAACGCAAGTTCAAGCGTACAAGTATTACGCGTCCATACATCGTTTGCCAAATGCAATGTTTCTTCGCTACGCATGGTAAGACATTGGAGAGAAGATGGAGAGCTTCCATGAGGAGATGGAGAGAAGCTGTACCCGATTGAGTATTTGCAAACCTCCTCCACGTAAGCCTTTCAATAGTCAACGAACAAGCGGCCGCGGGATACCTCTTCCTACCATGGCACATGTGCAGTAGCGTGGTGGAACTCTTTCGAGGGCATGAATCCTTTTCGCTGTTATCGTCACCATAAGCCGAAGGCGTGTACTGGGTGATGACCATAAGCCGACGAGGGGTGTAGATAGAAAATGCACGCACACAATGTGTTCATACCCTCCTATTGTTACAATCTCACCAAGCCCCAGGAGATATACTACTACAAAAATCTATCAGTGCCATTCATTACCCGATCATCAATGTCTATGCCTTCATAGTCTTCAGGAATCCGTCAAGATTAAACTCTTCCTCGTACTGCTTGTCATCCCAGAGCTCACTCAGCTCATCCAAAATGCCCTTTTTGCCCTTTTCGCGCATATTACCCTCAGCATCAACAGCATTAGATTCGTCAACACCATTGGTATCGTTCCCACCCTCTGCAATGGCAAGATTAGGATCCGTCTCGCCGAGATTGAAAAGATCCAGGATCTGATCCGTCTCCATAGTTCCTAGACCGGCATTCTGCTGATTCACCACCGTGGACGCCACATCAATCTTGAATCGCTGAAGGTTGAGAATCTTCTCCTCCAGCGTGCCTCGCGTAACAAGACGGTAGACATTGACGACCTTCTTCTGCCCGATTCGATGAGCACGGTCCATGGCTTGCAGGTCTTTTTGCGGGTTCCAGTCATGTTCGACGAAAATGACAGTATCGGCTCCGGTTAAATTCAATCCCAGTCCACCAACGCTAGTCGTCAAAAGAAGGCAATCAATGGAAGGATCAGAATTGAATTTGTTGACAATGTCCTGGCGCTTCGAAGCTTCGACGGATCCATCCAACCGGGAGAAAGTCACACCCGGCAACATCTTTTTAATGACGGTGTTCTCCACCATGTCAAGCATCTCCTTCATCTGACAGAAGATGAGAGCACGATGTTGCGAGACTGCTTGGTCAGCAGTCGGCACTCCTCCGCTATCCGCATTGGAGGAGGCTCCAATGCCGCAGTCGACCAGCAAGTCGCGCAGTGCTGTGAGTTTGGGTGCGTGCTTGGGATCCTTCAAGTTGGAGTTGGACTTTGCGAGCATCGCCTGGATCTCAGCGTACTGTTTGTGCCCTTCTTTCATGACCATTGCAGGCGAATTGCAAAGTTTGCGCATGTATTGGAGTGCCTGGAAAATGTGCTGCTTGGCTTCTTTGTCGGGATTGCCAGCCATGTCCTGCAGAGATCGAGCCTCCTTCTTAGTGAAGTCATCAAACAGGCGCTTCTGGAGATCGCTGAGGTCGCAGTAGTAGTTTTGGAGGATCTTCGGTGGAAGATCATTCAGGACCTCTTCCTTCAGACGACGAAGTAGGAAGGGTAGAACCTGTTTGTGCAGGGACTCGATGGCAAGAGCGCCGGCCTCTTGTTCCTTGGACGAAGACTTTGCGAATCGACTGGCGGCGATGGGCTTGGCGAATCGATCCTGGAAAACCTTCTCTGTTCCGAGAAAGCCTGGCATGAGGAAGTCGAAGAGAGACCACAACTCCAGCACATTGTTCTGAATTGGCGTGCCGGAAAGAATGAGGCGGTGGTTGCTAGGTAGTCTCTTCACAGCCTGGGTCACTTTGGCTTTGGGGTTCTTGATCAAATGGCCTTCGTCCAAGACGAGGTAGTTCCAGTTGATGGGAGCGAGCAGCTCGACATCATTACGAGCAATATCGTAGGAAGTAATGACAACATCAGCAGTGGCCAACTGGTCACGCACTTTACCACGCTCCGCTGGAGGGCCTGCAAACGCCACAGCAGTCAGGAAAGGAGCATATGTGCGGATCTCTTGCTTCCAATGTCCAGTGAGGGTGGGTGGGCAAATGATGAGAGATGGCATACGTCGCACGTCTGGCGCTTGCGTCTTGGCAAATTCCTCCGCTCGAAGATGATGGTCGCTTGCAACGATGCACAAAGTCTGAAGCGTCTTGCCAAGTCCCATGTCGTCACAGAGGACGCCATGAAGATGATAACGGTTGAGGAAAGCGAGCCAGTTGACACCGTCTTGCTGATATGAGCGTAACTCAGCCTTGATTGCGACGGGAATGTGGAAGGGCTCCACTTTCTTCGGATCGAGCATCTGTGAGATGAACTTGCGCTCTCGATCACGGCCCTCGAGAAGAGACTGGGGGAGACCTGGTGGATCGGGAATACCAGCTTCTAATGGTACCAGCTTAACGAGTGTCGCAAACGCTGTGGTCGCGATGAGACGTACGCCACCATCCGAATCGCTCATACGCCCAAGAACGGGTACCAAGAGKAAGATGACATATGGCAAGATGCCGTCGCCCATGACTTGGATGAGGTGATAGATGCACTCAATTGCACCTTGTCTGTGTACAACCTCATGAGCATTGTTGATGGGCGGGATGACTTGTTCAACAAGCATAGTGAAGCCTTGGACAGTGATGACACTGCACACACTGGCAAAGCACTTGGCTGCCGTATATCGTAATACAGCGAGTTTGCTCTGGAGAGCTCGTGCAACGAAAGGAAGTAGTTGCAGAACCCACGAATGGAGCGATGGGTCGAGTGTGGCTACGAGAGCTCTCAAAGTCGACATCCCATCGACGGCCTCCTGTCCGAGTGAAGAGTCGGGATCCGTGATGCCGGCAGGGAGCTCATCGGTGAAACATTCCCGCACAGGTCCCTCAATCACAGCCTGAAGTTTCGGAACTCTGGCGAAGAGATCGCCACCAAAAGTCCGGCAGAGCTGTTCCAGTGCGTCCTTCGCACCACGGCGGGTTATTCTGGCAGCTCTGACCTCGCGTTCGTATTTTGCGGCGTCCGGTCGATCCTGGATGTCTTCATCCTTTTGCAAGGACAGAATGCCAACCTCGCGATCCGCATTGGGGTGAAACTCTGGGGTCTCGCCAGTCTCCATACAACAGAATTTGACCAGATTACCAACAACCTTCTCTACCACCTTGTTGCGCTCTTGCGCGACAAGTTGGCTGATGAGTACTGAAATCGCTGTAGCTGTCCTGTGCTGGAGATCCACATTTTCCTCCTCTTTAATGCTGTCCATGACTGCCTTGATTGTCATCTGTGGCTTTTTGGGCACGCTCTGGAAAGCGATGAGGGCCGCTGCTGCAGATGATCGAATACGCAAGTCAGCCTGCGCTTTCGCATTGTGCGCTTCGCTTATGGCAGCCTCAGCATCCATCTTTGCAGTTGCAAGAGCCTCGGCTGCCGTCATACGCTGCACTGTGGAAAGGCCCTTCTTGAGACGTTCATAGTCCTGAGACACAATCTTCTCCGCATCCTGTATAGAGAATGCGTTCTTGCCGGCTTCCGGTTCGCCCTGACAGACCACAGCCACAATAGGGAGCTTACTGCCCGGTACGTGACCGTGCTCTTGGAACGCGTTGAGGAGTTGTTGACACTGCGCTCTAGCGATGCGGAGATAGCTAGTCAAGTCGCTATACCAGCCGGGTCTGGTATCGTCGACGAGATTCCGCAGCTCCGAACATGCAGAACTTAAAAAGCTCTCACCCTGAGTCTTGCAAGAAGCAAATCCTTCAAACGCCATGGCTGTGAACAACTGTGTCGATGCGTAGACCGAAGTGAGCCCAGGTAGCAGCTTTGGTCCAAAAAAGGCTTCGCACTCATCGGCTGGCCACAGAGCCACCGCCTTACCGATCGCTCGGGTTGCAAATATACGACTTCTGATCATCACGTCGGCCCCGACGAGATCGACATCACCCTGCATCATAGCTGCATCGATGTTGTGTGTCGTTGACGAGGGAGGTGGTACGGATGGCTCCTTCTTTTCCGATTTGCGACGCTTCTTTGGAGGCTCCGCGCCATTAACAGGTGACGCACGGTGGGCATTCGCAAGAGGCAGATAGGTCTGCCCCGAAGGCTTGATGAACAATGTAGCGWCCATGGGAATTGGATGGCGGCTGATACCGATGGGATGCAGCGTCAAAGTGATCAGAGGAGAGGCGTGAGCCTCGAACTCTTGACTGAAAGAGTGTGGGCCTTTGCTCATTAATGCATCAACGAGGGCTTCCCACACCTCAAGCGAAAGCTTCAAGACAGCTTCATTGCGCTCGACGATGAGATTCTGGTAGACCAAGCGGAGGGCCTTGCCATTGATCCAGCCTTTAGTATCCTCGCCGTCGATGTTGATGAATGTGAGAAGCGCACGAAGAACAGCAGACCGCACACTGGTGATGGTGTGTCGCAGGAAGGGATATAATCGCGGTACAAGCTCATAGAACGATTGCTCTGGATCGTTGGCTGCGTTCTGCTTCATCGCGGCCAGCACTTCTGGGAAGCTGCACAGTTTGGCCAATAGATCCATCACGGAACCAGTACTCGCGCTGAGGTCATCCGAGAGGCTAGACAGACATTCCCAGACCACGCTGATAAGATGACCCAGCTCGTCTGATCGGACATTGACGAACTCTTTTGCCACTGGTATGAGGGTCGCCGCACTGACAGAGCGAACATCGTCGTCCTGATCTCCAAGCCCTTTGATTACGCACTCCAAGACGCCGTCCATTAGAGAGCGATCTTGGAAGAGTAGATCCGTTCGAACAGCAACCAGATAGCGCATACCAATCATGCCACCATGACACGCATGCCAGATCCGTCGCGATACTTTGAGATCCTTTTGCATTACCAGTCTGTAGAGGATCCGGTTAATCTCGTGCACTGACTCCGGTGGAAGGAACTGCAGGACAGCACCGAGAACTTGTCCCACCGTCTCTCTGATCGGCGCCACAGCATTGTCAGAAACATAGTCCGCGAATCGGTCCAGCATGAACACACAGCAGATGCGGCATCCGAGGTCATCCAACCATGCACGGTTCAGCTGGTCGTTTTCCTCCTTGGTGTTGCCAGCACGGCGACCTGCGCCGGCCCCGTGGACGCGCACGATCTCTCGAAGACCCATTGCAGCGCCGTGCCGAATCTCCCAAGACGGATCGAATAAGTCGACCGTCAGGAACTCACAAAGTCTCTCGAATGGCCAATCGTTGCCTTCCTCCTCGCCATCCGCAAGTAACGCAGACTTTTCCGCAATGGGCACACCTTTGAACTCTGAGACAACTTTTGAATCATCATCACCGCCTTTTCGATCGAGAGAAAGATAGTCCGCACTGCCATTTTCATCTGGTTCCTGCTTGAACTCTGGCTTGATCTCCTCTGTTGGTGTTTGCGCACTGACACTCTCGCGGCGTGTTGCAAAGTCGTATTTGAACTTCTTGTTGTCGCGCTTAAGTTCTTCCTTGCGGCGTCGCTTGAGCATGTTGAGCTGTCGCTTGCTCATCTCACCTCCTCCTGGGGTAGCTGGCTGCGGCTCGTCTGGAGATTTGGTGGCGGCATCCTCACTCGTCTTGCCAGAGTCTGTGTCCAGTTTGGGAAGATTTTGAGCTGACACTGACGCAGATCGAAAAGCAATATCTTTGTCGCTGACAAGGTCTTCTTCAATGTACTGCCCGCCTAATCCAAGACGTGAAGTGAGGGTTTTCTTTTGGTGGGCTAATCGCTCTGCAGCGTTCAGACCGGCCAGTTTGTAATCATACTGCTTACCGGCACTACCGRGCAGTTCCTTGCCATAGGTGAGAATTGCCTCAACATCGAGGGTCGCAAGATGTAACTGCTCTGGCGATGATTGGGACGATGGTGGATCCTGCTTCACGGGGTTATGGTCGTCCCCGTTGGAGATCTCGTCGATGGTGGCATTGGGATCGAACTTTTCTGCATGTTCGACGATGCCGCCAATAGCGCGTGCAGCAGCAGTGCGCGTGTCCCAAGAGTGTGATCGAAGATAGGGCACGACACGAGTGAGCAAATTAAAGAGYTCGTCTGGGTGATTCTTCTGGACGTCCGCGAGCTGTTGCGCGGCAGTATTACGGATGAGTTGTGTAGAGCCGGTCTCCAGTAGAACGACCAATCGGTCAAGTCTGTAGAGGAGGTCAGGTGACGTTAGCGAGAAGCTTATGTAAAGGATGTGTAGATGGATAGAGGTGGATAAAATGTTTGTTTGCATACCGTGAAGTCGTCATTGTTGTTTCTCAGCGCGCATTTGAGCGCAAAGGAGATGTAAGTCGTAAATGAATATTACCAGTCCATCGAGAGATGATGCAAGTGCAATCCAACAGTTGATAAAAAAGAGAGGTCGTGTCAATGCATGGGAGCCAAGAGCGACCGCGCGGGATGCTGAACTGGGCAGGTGTGCCGGTCACACTTTTCTCTCAGCACGAGGTTGCGTCGATTTCGCAGCGGCGCCGGGTGGGAGCTCTGTATTAATAAACTCGCAAATGGAAAAAATTACGACCGTGCACCCTCCTCTCGTTTAGCCAGCCAACCAGAATTCAGAATTGACATTTTAGCTCGCTCTTGCCTCGAAGACGTGCAAAACAGTCAACGACATTCTCCCTTTTCGTCTGGGAGCACTTATACACATGGCAGGTCTGATGGACGTGGAGACGATCGGATGGTGACTATACGAGACTTCCGCCATCATCCTATGATGAGTCCCACTCGAAGATTCCAGACGATGAGCACCAGCGCTGGTAAGCATACGTTGCAGAGGCTGGAAGGAAGGGCAACCTGGGCGATTCGTTGCTGAATCATACAACAACTTTCCATTCATCATGCTTGATTATTATTGCATTATCGCACAATGTCAGAACGAGAAGATCGCCTCATCATGGTCATACAAAGCGTGCAGCTCGTGTTACACAGATCCTGTCAAGCTGGTCAAAACACCCGAGCGATGCAAACACTACGCTCGTCATCAAATCGTGAACAACAAACGCGCTTCTAGATAACTTATCGCGTGCGATGATGAAACGCATGAAACCGGGAACTGTTCGTTGTTTTTGTTGATGGCACACCGTAAAGGGATCGAAACCGAAGAGCCTCACGCGTGATCGATGTAGCATGGTGCATCCTCTCATACCTTACGTTTGCAAGGCTGGGACAACTGCACTTTCGCCCACCTCCTTCTCGTAGTTGGGGATGGCTGAGATGAACATGGGTCGCTCAGGGCATCTCCAAAACCTTGAWCTTATACATTGCGTTGACAGATAATTAGTCGCACAAGATGATGCTGGATTTCAACAATGCGGGTGGTCGCGACACACGATCTATACATGACTTGAAGGATGCGGCGTGTAAAACAATGGAGATGATGATACCTGGGATTCTACACGTTCATTGTATGCAAACATTCACGACTTGGGCACTTTGATCGTGAAGAGGGACATTGTAAGCACAGAATGAGAAAGGGTATGCAGCGAGTTGTGTAGAAGTTCCCCATACACCAAGCTTCGCGACACTGCAAAGGCCGGGTATCAAGGCTGGTGGCGGAGGCCAGTCTCACGGCWCATTCTTCGCACCGCCCACTGCTGACCCCGAATGCCGTGACTTTTTCCGTTTGATCATTGCGTTTTTGAATGTTTTTGGCGACGTGAGACGCTATCTTAACGCCTGAACTGCCAGTTCCCATAGCCGTAGGTACCATCCAGCCCATTCAACCATCATGCAGCAGTAGCAAACAACACAACCCTCAACACACATGCTCCATCTCAGAAACAGACTGTGCGTCTAGTAGCCGTACTGCTCCAACTGCTTCTGCGTAGCCTCGGGGATCTTGGCGTTCTTCTTCGCCTCGAGCAGGTTCTTCCGTGCGGCGCTCTTGCGCTCGTAGTATGCCTGACCCTTGACTTTTCTCCTCTCCTCCAGACGAGCGACGACGTCCTGGTACTTCCATCCGAACTCGTGTCCGAGACGGCCGACGGTGCAGTACTTGCGGCCGGGCTTGAGGCGCAGCACGCGGAGGGCCTGTGGGACGACCATGCGCTTCTTGTGGTCGTATGGTGGTGGGACACCCTCGAAAGTCTTCAGGCGCTCCATGGCCTTTGCGCCGCGTTCAGTCTTGTGTGGGATCATACCGCGGACGGTGCGCCAGAACATCTTGGCCGGGGCCCGGAAGTGCCATGGTCCACCACGGGTGGGGTTGAAGCGAGTCTGCTTGCGGAGGAATGCGGAGTACTTCACTGTGGGTGGGTTAGAATGTCATTCGAGGTGGTGGACAGGTTTCGAGATCGATAATCGCGGGAGGACGTACGCTTGGCGCGGAAGAACTCGCCGGAGATGTTGAGGGCCTCGCAGCGGACAACAACGATCTTCTGGCCGTTCAGAAGCTGCTTGGCGACGGTCGAGGCCAGGCGACCGAGGAGGTGACCCTTGCCGTCAATGACAATCTGGTGGAGGAGCGGTGTTAGCGGTGGATTGGGAGGTTGGAGTGCTGCAATGCTGCTTTCGGAGTGCGCAGTGAGGCCCATCCAATTATCCAGCAGCATTTAWCAGGAGGAAATGCTCACCACAGGCTCAAAGGTAGACATCCTGCTGTTAGTACGGGTGGTTGATGGGGTGGAGTGACGGTCGTCGTGCTTTCAAAACTGAAATTCGTCAAGTTCACAAGTGGATTTGCTTGGCAATTCGAGGCAACTTCGCCGAAGCTCGTACTAGCTCGTATTGGCCGGGCGCGTGACGACGATATACACCTACAAATCTGTTCCCGGACTCGACTCAACGTACGTAGTTCGGAATATACAAGAAAAGCGTACAACTCCAGTACAACGGGACTCAACGTGGCGTCCTCACTGTACCAGCAGTTCACCGCCGCCACCACGCGCGCGCTGGATCACGCACTGGAGATTGTGGGCTTGCACACCCCGCCCTCATCCTCCCCTCCTCCGACCACTTTTCTGACCCCGGTCGCGGAATTCTTCCAACAGCGATCGTCTCTCGAGAACAGTACCTTCCTCCTCGCACTCACCACTTTCGCCTTCCTCGCCATGTCTTGGTCCTCCCGCCTCGGCAACCTGGGCCGCTTTTCCCCCTTCACTCGCTCTCCACCGCAACATTCGACAGTACGTGACGCCGACTTCAGCTACATAACTGCCGACGACCTGCGCAGACACCAAGCTGAATCGATGTCTCAACAGAACCAGCCGTCGGAAGAGTCGACCGACCTGGGCGATCCCCGCGACACGGACTTGTTGAAATTCCGTAACAAAAAGACGACATATGCCGTGCACTTTCCCGCCTACAGCATCGCCAAGGGCGAACTCACGGTCGGCCAAGTGCGCGATCAGGCCGCGAAAAAGGTCGGCGCCGGTGACGCACGGCGAGTCAAGTTGCTCGTTCGCGGCAAGAACCTCAAAGACGACAGCAAGACTTGCAGGCAGGAGGGACTACGGGAGGGCGACGAGCTCATGATGACCGTGGCCGAGGGTGCAGGATCGGGAAGTGACAGCGAGAGTGACGACGAGTTCGACGGGATTGACGAGACTGCGGCCGGTGAGACCAAGCGGAAACGCAACCGGGGAAAGAAGTCGAAGCGTCGCAAGCAGCGGGAGGATCGCGGTGATGGCGCTTCTGGTACTTCCACACCTCAGCTCGGCGTATCCGGTCAGCAGAACTCTCGAACMCAGTCGCCGAAACCACCAGTCACTGCGTTGGAGAAGCTGGCCGCATTGCGGGAGAAGCTACAAACCTTCCTACCCGACTGCCGGGCGTTTGAAGCCTCTCCCCCCGTGGATCCAGCGAAGAGGGAGTTTGAGCACAAGCGTTTGTCGGAGACCATCCTAGCACAGGTCCTTCTCAAGCTGGACGCCGTCGAGACGGAAGGTGACGCGGATGCCAGAGGCCGGCGGAAGGAGCTCGTAAGGGAGACTCAGGACGTTCTCAATAGGTTGGATGGTGTTGTAAAGGGAATGTAGGAAAGCGGAATACAGAAAACTCTGGGCATGGACTTGACGATTTGCATGGCTTGACTGTGTTTCAATGACAGCGAGCAGTTTTTGGGCGGTGGATCAAGCGATCTGGCATCATTTTCAAGGTATGCATTGCGAATCTCGTACAGCGAGGCGTCTATGGGATGTTGTAAGATCACGAGAGACGGGGAATATGTGTAGACTTGCAAGGGAGTGGGAACTTCGGCCAGCACCTCCGACTCTATCGGTCCATTGCGGTGATTGTCCTGGTTTACTCGGAGTAGACCAAGGGTCGAGACCTTGCACCAAAGATCGCCTAGGCATTCACTGCATCTGTTCACCTAAAGTGGAGTGATTATCAGCGCGACCCACCGATATGCACGCCCTGGCTTTGAACGGCGGCTTCTATAAATGGCGACGTCCATGTTCTCGAGGACAGGAGAATAACAACGGGTGACACCTAACCACACAAAGCACCAGAAATYGTACTGGAGTGATGTTAAGCTGCGCCATGCTCAACACGTACTGAGCAGACGCATGCTTCACTACGCTTCTATACCTCGGTCTACTAAAGCTTAATAAACGGATCCGGCCATGCGGAGATATCCAACAACTACCAGGTACCCTGCTCTGCACCAGGTATCTTGACCCTCTACTAATCCCTGCTAGTTGACAGTTAGTCCAACGATTTCATCATCATCTTGAGATCTTTTATATAAGATATTCCATTGGCATTGTTTCTGCCCCCAGAGGGAGATTTATCTGTCAGCCATGTCGTCCGCTTCCAAACGCCTATCCACACTTGCGGCCCACTTCCCTCCTGCGTCTGGCTCCCCAACTGCTGCGGATAACTCGATCACCACGAAAGATGTCTTTGAACATAAGTTCCATTCGCATCAATTGAGCCCAACGTTTTTCTTGCCGAGAGCGGCGAGTATTGAGCCTGATGTGTGTTGTCCAATGTCGCATTTACAACATCGTCGAGTCTTGCAGATTGCTGATCCTGTACATCGCTAGGCAATTGCTGTTTTCCACAAAACTGCCAGTATGCGCTACGAGAATTTTGGTGGTGGGGAATTTGCGTACTGATATCCAACAGATGAGAAGATCCTACGCCGAACGTACCAAGAGACTGCAGACCGCGCAAGAGGATTGGCGTATTACTTGAAGAAACATGGATTCAAGAGAGTGGGAATCCTATGCACCAACACGCCCGCTTTCTTCGAGAGCATTTATGGAATTGGCGCTGCAGCTGCGGTCAATGTTGGTGGGTATAGACCATGCAACCGAAACATTTTCAATGCTAACACAATAATGTAGCAATCAACTACCGTCTCAAGATGGACGACATTACCTACATCTTCGATCACGCAGAAGTCGACCTGATTATTGTTGATGCGGAGTTCCAACATCTCCTAGAAGGTTTCCGAAAGCTCCACCCCAAAGTTCCCTTCATCATTGATACGGACACTGATCAAGACACTGGCCCATTCGACCAAGCCGTGCTGGATGGTCTTCAACAAGATATTCGTACCGGAGGCCACGGCTGGGCAGGACTGGAGACCGAGGTAGCGCACGAGGACAGCATGATTGCAATCGCTTACACATCTGGAACTACTTCACGTCCCAAAGGCGTCGAATACACGCACAGATCCGYCTACCTAGCAGCAACAGCCAACGTGATTGAAAGCGCTCTCAATACTTGCATCCCCTCCGCTAGCCGCTGTCACTACCTCTGGACACTCCCCATGTTCCACGCCATGGGATGGACATTCCCCTGGGCCGTCACCGCCGTTCGAGGAACCCACTACTGTCTGCGAAAGATCGACTATCCCTACATCTGGTCCCTTCTCAAAGACGAGCAAATTTCCCATTTCAATGCCGCTCCCACAGTCAACACTCTTCTCTGCGCGGATTCCAATGCCGTAGCTCTCGAGCACCCAGTAAGAGTCACCGTCGCTGCGTCCCCGCCCACGGCCCATCTATTCGAAACCATGGAGAAATTGAACCTCCGCCCAGTGCATGTGTATGGTCTGACAGAGACCTATGGACCCATCACCAAAGGTTACCAACTCCCCGAATGGGAATCCCTCCCTCGCAAAGAAAAGTACGCGAAGATGGCCAGGCAGGGACACGGGCTCATCATGTCTCTCCCGGCACGAGTGATCAAAACCAACATGGACGAAAGCGGAGCCTGGGAATCTTCCACCACCATCGAGAATGTCGCCAAAGACGGCAAGGAAATTGGAGAAATTGTCTTCAATGGCAATCTTTGCGCAAAAGGTTATTACAAAGATCCCGTCGCGACGCGTAAACTTTTCGCCGGCGGAGTGCAGCATTCGGGGGATTTGGCGGTTTGGCATGCGGATGGGAGTATACAGATTCTGGATCGTGCAAAGGACATCATTATTTCGGGGGGTGAGAATATCTCCAGCGTGGCGTTGGAGAGTATGTTGGTTACGCATCCGGATGTTTTGGAGGCGGCTTGTGTCGCTGTCAAGGATGAGCAGTGGGGGGAGAGACCCAAGGCTTTCATCACTGTCAAGGAGGGAAGGGAGTTGAAAGGGGAGGATGTCATTACGTGGGCTAAGAAGAAGTCGGATATTTCGAGGTTCATGGTTCCGAGGGAGATTGAGATTTTGGAGGAGTTGCCTAAGACGAGCACTGGGAAGACTAAGAAGAATGTACTGAGGGAGTGGGCGAGGGGGAATAGGGAGGCTAGTTAGTGGCTTGTATGTTGGGTACGTTGGTTTTGAGCAAGCACTGTTTATCATTGATCATTTGTGGTGGTAGGTATAATGAATGACTCAACGGTGAAGAATACAGGTTGTATATTTTGGATAACTCTTCGAGGCGTCAGGTTTAACGGCAATTCTCGATTGTACTCGGCAAGCGACCTGGAAAACAAGCTATGCCATCCACCCCGAAAGACATGTCTTCGCCATCGACAAAGCGTCCAGATCTCCGGAGGATCAAGATTACGAAGAGCCAAAAGCCTGATCTCTTTACTGTCGTCAGATCATGTTCAGCATTCGGACATGTGTCCTTCAACCAAACATTAAACGTCCTCACATCTAGAATGAGCCTTCTTCCACATCACACCAATGACGGAGCAGCAAACATGTACATTTTTACAGACTGGAAGAGTATGCCGCGACGAGGTACACGTCAAGTGGACAGAGTTCGCAATTGAGCAGACTAGGGAGGCAGAAGCCGTGATCCATGGGTCCAACGGGACTCAGCATGGTAGACAGAAATATTGAGAATGTCAGAGCAGAAGATCTCATCTACGGGAGACCTGAGTGGAGGAAATGGTGGAAAGCAAGGAAAGCACAAGGAGAGTTCACTCACTCGCCTCGTGTCAGTTTGTTGATTTTGAGAGAGGGATAATTGACAGGTCAAGCATGAATTGATCAATTGCCATTGCTGGACGGTATGCCAGCAACTCTAAGCATGAATTCCAATGCTTCAATGACCTTTTCATCCTCATAACGACGCCCGACCAGCTGCAATGATATCGGAGCGTCTGCATACTTAGCAGGGTCATCTACAATCATTCGTCAGCCATGTCGTCTTTATTGCTACAGAATGCTCAAGCTCACAAAGATTATGATTGTATGCATCTTGTTCATTCCTCGGCGAGTACTCGATATCAGCCTTGTCTTCAGGACCACAAGCCAGCCCGGTGGGAAAGACCAGTGCGGGATAATCCAATAGGTTCCACTGTGAGGTGTAATTCCAATACCGTGCCGTGTTGAGTAATGGAGCTACTCCCGGTCCCACGGGGCATAGTACGACGTCAACAATGCGATCTTGGAGAGCATCTGCATCGACAGTGATCTTTGATCCACTTTCAGGCCCTGGCAAGCCAGTTCCTACACTGTTCCAGTGTCGAGCGTACGCTGCTTTGTAAGCATCTCGCTCGCATGTAAGCTTCCATGTTTCGGGAATGGTCAGGGCTTTGACGTGAGGATTTTCCTTGATGATGAAGTCGGAGAGTGGCATCCAGGGCTCCCCTGAGGCATCGATGGCTTCAATTTCTTCGCGGGCGCCATCTGCGAAGTACAGGCTTGCTATGATTCGCCACTCGATCGCTTGTCAGTAGGAGGCTGCAAGTCAAGGGGTAATGATGTCTCACTGCCTCATCGTGCTTGTATGCAGGGAAGTCTACAATCTCAATGTCTGGGTGACCTTTCAGCTTGTCTACCATGGTTTGGATGCCTCGGACGATCGGTGGATGCGGCTTAACAATACCGTCATTGGCGAGCACACCAATTCTGAGTCGAGGTTGACCCTGGTGCCCTCGACGAAGTAAGCTGGAAATTGATGTATCCTTCCAGGGCATGGGAATCAGACTAGGCTCGTATAACCATGGCTTTTGGTCAATCAAAGTCTTCATGAACAGCTTGATCCCCTCTAGACTTGCGCTGAGAGGGCCGACGACGGGGACAACCTGTTCTTCGCCTAGCATTGTGGCGGCAAACCCATCAAGAGGTAGCCGATAAGACGTGGGTCTCAGCCCATACACACCGTTGTTGGCCGCCGGACTTCGGATACTGCCACCAATATCCTATATGGTCAGGGCCAATGCTCTACGACTCAAGATGGCAACTTACAGTCCCAATCCCGAGACAACTGCCATTCATCCCAAGTAACGCGCCTTCGCCGCCGCTGCTACCTCCGGACGTGAGGTTTGTATTGTAAGGATTCACAGTAACTCCGTATATGCTACTCGACGTCTCCAAGTGCATCAGCGTCTGCGGTTCTGTAGTCCTGGCATGAAACACGGCGCCAGCATGCCACAGTAACTTCAGAATCAGAGCATCATCGGCGCCGATCCGGCCTACCCAAGATACGAATCCTGCATTCACATCGAGATCTTTCATGGAGATGTGTTCCTTGACGGATATTGGCAATCCGTGTAGGGGCCCAATCGGTCCATGCTTTGAAAAGTGTTCGTCTAGGAAATTTGCGCGTTCCAGGGCTTGATCTGTAAGGAGTTCGGTGACACAATTGGTGAGTCGGGAGGCCAAAGCAGCACGCTGAAGGAAGGCCTTGGTGACAACGGTACTGGTCAGGTTCCCCGAAGCCAGTTGTCTCACAAGCGTTTCTGCATCTCTTCCTGTGATGGAAAGAACTTCCTGCGTGAGTAAAGTGGAAGGTATCTTTGTGACGTTTGATCCCGTTGATACAGGAACATCCGGGATTGGCGGCTCCAATACTTGAATTGTTCGTTCACGGTGATCCTGTCGAGTGCGAGCGATGGCTTTCCAGTCCATATTGATCTTCGAGCTGTGACACGGGAACTGCTCAGGTATGGTGGTTGAAACACAACTTCTCAATAAGGAGATCGCGGACAAGTAAGATGAAGCGGCTGTTCAGTGTCAAAAGCTCCACATGAGCATGGAGTACAGTACATCGGAGCTATGGATGCTCAATGGCTCGGCCGCTCCATGTGTGCACAGCGAGATAGCAGTCGATAGGGCATTCGGGCTGCATAGGTAGCATAGCATAGCTGTCGGTCGAGAGCTAGAAGCCGGTTTCGCCGGGACGTCCCAGGGTCTCTCTGGTGATTGACGCGGACTTCGCACCGTCACATGGCGAGCACGCGCAATGCTTCGTCGACATGACATCTGTTGTCTCACCCAACTAAGGTAACATGAGGATACCAATCTGCGTGTAGTGCGTGGAAGTGAGGGCTGTCGGCAATCCGGCCGATCTAATTCGCCGCTCCCGTTCGAAACCCGCTCCCTCGGTATCCGCGGATGACGCTACATGGATTCTGGGGAAATTCTTCCCTGATCGCACCCGCGCATACCAAAAGCAATACCTCGGCATTTTACGCGCGCGTCGAGCGTTCGCAACAATGARATCTGCATGGGCTCCCATGCACCAGGACGAGGCGTTGCTCGATGTACCAGCCGTAAGTAAGCTCGTACGGCTCGCAGAAGAGTCCGTTTCGTCTCGTCTCGCCTACGCTCCGTCTCCATTCCTCTTCCCTCATACCCAGTCCCTCAAACACTGCCTCATCCACAGCTATAGCCCCCCTCTGCATAGCAATCGCAGCATAGCACTCTCCACCTCGTAATCACCGGCCCAGCCTGCGACATCCTCACTCATCAGTGACCTTGGTACTTGGCCAGCATGCCTCGTGAGTCTAGCTTCAGTGCCAGTGTTTACTCACCCTCACATTCCTGCAGGCTTTCCTTTGCCCAAACTGCCACGAGCAGTCTCAGTTCCAGCTGCGGTAGCCGGTCTTGCTTATTTCAACGCAAAGCACCTGGTGAGCCAGGATTTGTTCGGGATGTAGGTCAGATCGAAGTATGGAGAGCAGGGACTGAGCTTCCGCGCCTGCCTCCGAATCTCTCCGCTGTCAGTACATAAACTAACCTCTTATTCTACGAAAAGCTACAGCGCCATTGCACTAGGTGTTCACTCCGGAAAACTTGAAAAGCAGGACAGAGTCAACGCTTTCTACGTCTTTGAGGAGCTCGCAAACAACCCAAAGTCTGCCAACCGCTTGTTCTTGGTCGTCCCCAAAGATGAAACCAACCAGGGTGGCCGCACAGAATGGACATATGCCGAGGCCTACGACATAATGCTGAAATATGCGAGATGGCTGAAGGAGACACACGGCGTGCAAAAGAGCGAGGTCATTGCTATGGACTTTAAGAACAAGCCACAGTTCATTTGGATGTGGTTCGCGTTGTGGTCTTTGGGCGCTGTGCCAGCATTCATCAACAGCAACTTGGAGGACAAAGCTTTTATCCACTGCGCAAAGGTGTCGACGTCTCGGCTGTTGTTGCTCGATCCTGAGCTTCAGCACATTCTCACCGCAGAGGCACTTCAAGCATTTGCGCCTGATGACAAGGGCCGAGCGGTTGAGACTGTCGTTCTGAACCAGGCTTTGGAGTTGCAGATTGAAGGAGGCCTTCCCTATCGAGCTCCGGACGAGGCGAGATCTGGCGTCATAAGAACCAGCCCGTGTCTTCTGATCTATACGTCAGGTAAGCAGATCCACAGCACTGCTTAGTATTCACAACTGATCCTTCTTTCAGGAACCACCGGTCTACCCAAGGCTGCCAATGTGGCGTGGTATGTATCTCAGGATGATCACAGTGCACTGCTGGTCGACTTTACACGCTAATAACTTTCACCCAGGTCAAAACCATTGGGAGGTCTGAACTTCTTCCCACGTATTCTTGGATTGAAGCCCGAGGATCGATACATGACTGCCATGCCGCTGTATCATTCCTCTGGATCGATTCTTGGTGTTTGTCAAGCCATTGGTGCCGGCTGCACAATGGTTGTGGTGCCAAAATTCTCTCCTCGTCTGCAGATGAAGCAAGCCACGGAAACTGGCGCTACGATCCTGCAATACATTGGAGAAATGTGCCGCTACCTCGTAACCTCCCCTCCCACTCCATACGATCGCACTCATGCAATTCGATTGGCGTTTGGTAACGGCATGAGACCAGATGTGTATGTCCGCAGTGCATCACCCTTGCCATTTGACCCACTAGCTGACTTTGACCCCTTTGGCGTATAGATGGCAAAAATTCAAGGACCGCTTCAACATTGGTACCATTCTGGAATTCTACGGCGCGACCGAAGCTCCCGGTGCATCTATGGTGTACAGCACCAACGACTTCTACCGTGGAGCGATTGGTCGGGGCGGTCTCTTGATGCGAACGATATTCGGCGGAAATCAAGCTCTTATTCAGCACGACCACGAGACCGGCGAGCCATACCGAGACCCCAAAACCAACTTCTGTGTCAAGGTGGCGACAAACGAGCCGGGCGAGTTGCTTTACACTCTGGATCCCGCCAATATCAACGAGAAGTTCCAGGGATACCTTGGCAATGACAAGGCATCGAACAGCAAGATCATCACTGATGTGTTCAAGAAGGGCGACGCATACTACAGGAGTGGTGATTTGCAAAGACGGGATGCTGATGGTCGTTGGTGGTTCATGGACCGCATTGGTGACACTTATAGGTGGAAGGTACGCTCTCCATTCCACCCTCGCTGACACTTTTCAAAGAAAGGATATTGACATCACACAGGGCGAAAACGTCAGCACAGCAGAAGTTTCGGAAGCACTCGGCTCACACTCCGCACTGTTAGAAGCAAACGTGTACGGTGTCTCGCTACCCAACCACGACGGCAGAGCCGGCTGCGCAGCCATCGGCTTGACAGACGGGCAAAAACTAGATGAGAATTTGGGTGCAGAGCTTGCGAACCACGTAAGAAAACGATTGCCCAAGTATGCGGTTCCATTGTTCTTGCGTAAAATGAAGGAGATTGAGGTCACCGGCACTCTCAAGCACCAAAAAGTCGCTCTGAGGAATGAAGGTGTWGATCYMRG